CCTCCATCAGCAAGACTTGCCTGATTGGTTACCTCATACCTTAGGACCTCCAACAGTTCTGGGAAGTCATTTTTTGCATGAATGAATGAAACGGTCCCTGAGAGTCGGTAGGATTCTGACAGGTAGAGAGGAGAAGAGAGAAGTGCAGGAGTTCAAAGTGTGACTTTGGAAAGGCTGTGGGAGACCATTGGCTGGAAAAGGGGAAGGGAGGGAATGAGGTAGAAGATCTGGGAGGTTGTTAACTGGGGCGTAAGGCCTGGGGGTCACAGGAAGGTTCTGAGCAAGACCCACGAAGTCACAATACTCAGCTTGGAAGAATGTGCCAGCAACCCACCCAGACTGAGGAGAAACCCAGGGCCCTCATGAAGTGACCCAATTATGGTGCCCTTCTTCTGTCCCCACGATCCACGTTCCACCTCTGACTGGGGAACAGAAGTGGGGACAGAAAGGTGGTGGAAGGACAGAAAAGGCCTTGCTGGGCAGGAGGGCTCTGGGAGTGGGGACGAGCGAGTGTGTGAAGGGCACAGGAGGCTGCTGGTCTGCTGGCTAGACAGGCCGGAGCCCCATACAGTGAAAGCAAAGAGGACCAGGGGCATCCTGGGTGTGTTAGGTTCGAGGTGCTGAGGCAGGTGTCACACTGGCCGTTGGAAAAGAGGACCTCTATCTGGAAGGCCGTTTTTTAGAATAGCTGAATAAAGAAAGCTGCAGGCTTTGAGAGCAAGAGGCAGGAACCTGTTAGCAGCAGAGGGAAGGGGCTTGCTAAGGGAGCAGAGGCTGTGCAGCGCCAACCAGTTGTGCATTCTGGTGGGATGAAGGAGGACTGGCATATCTCCATCACGGTCCTCCCACCCCAGCACCACTCCAGGGAGGACGGCTCGGGAGGGCAGGCTGGGCTGATGTTAAATTCTGACCCAGAGCAGAGGGAAGGAGGACCCTTGATGAAGACTTGGCCCTTGTGAATGTGCCTTCCAGAGGCACTCCAAGGAGTGACGTCGGCGTGGCAGTGGGAGAAGCTGCTTGGCTGGAAAAAGGGAGGAGAGGCAATGGGATAGGAAGATCAGGGAGGCTCCCGACCAGCAGCCCAGGGTCTGATGAGTCCTAGGAAGGTTTTGCATTGTGGGCTCGCTTGCATTTCTTGCTTTGCCTCCCCATGTCTTTCTCTGATGCAATCTCCAACTGGACTTTCAAAACTAGTGATTTTTCCTTGTTGCCAACAGCCCTACACTGTCACGTTGTGGAATTTGCAAGTCATTCACAGAAGCTGTGAAATATCGGTCAGGCACAGCACTGGGAGTCCAAGCTCTTTACCAGCCCCGTGGCAAGGCATGCAGGGCCTGGCCTTGCTGTACTTCGATTTTCCATTTTGGAAGCTGTTGACAATCCCTTCCAGGGCTCAGGTCCTCCCTGCGGATGTGATAAGCGCCAAGTAGGACAAATACAGAAGATTCTGTGGATTCCCTGGAGGAAGGCGTTTTGGAGATCTCAGTGAACTATTGTCTTCGGCAAGAGAGACAGCATTCGGAACTTACTTTGAATTTTAAGATGTGCCAAACGCATTACCAGCTTCTGGGTAAAACTAGCAAGTCTAGAGAGCCCTTTGTTAGAAAAGAAAAATGTGTATATGTTCTAGTGTTTCAAATTGTTTCTTCTCTTTTGGAGTTAAACTTCTGGGGGAACAAAATCCAAACACTTGTGGTTATGGAAGGGATTCCACAGCAGTGAAATAAGCAAGGAAGTGATGTGAGTCTGCCTGTGTTTTCCGACACCGGGGTCCCTGACCGGCTTACGTGAGCTCATTAACTAGCAGTGAGCGCTGAATCTGAGCCATACAGGGTTTCCCTGCAGCCCCGGGCCTGAGTCAAGAGCAGCTGGGAGACAGCTCTGCCCTCACTGTGTGCACTCGGGTCTGACTTTCAGCTCCTTTGGGCAGGCGCAGGGTGGACTTTGAATGTGTATGCACTGGGCAGGCCCCAAAGAGACCACCCAGAAGCCTGAGTCCCTGGCCCTGACCTGTGTGGGTCGGGGCAAGGACCACTCAGAGACCAGTAGTTAGGAGCCGAGAACACAAGCTAGGAGTCAGGCCTCAGTGCTCACCCTTGTTTACCTACTGATGGGCCTTGCGAACTTGGAGAAGTTGCAAAACCTTGCCAGATTTTCTTGTTTTCCCCCTGTGTTGTGCTATACCATTAACCTTCTCATGTTGCCTTGAGAATTGAGTGAGGGGATGGACGGGAAGCTCTGAGTTTGATAAATGAGGGCCCTTGTGGTCATTATCTTTCAGAGAGGCAGGCCTTGTGGTTGGGAGGAAGTCTGTCAGGGTCCAGGAAGGGGAGAGAATGTATTTTGTTGAATGAGTGAGTGAGTGAGTGAATGAGTAAGGTGGATTTGATCCCAACAGAACGAGAAGGAGCTGGTTCCATGGAGGGTGAAGAAAGACATTCCATTTTGAAGAAACAATGAATATAAACCTGCCCAGACTGCTGTCCTAAGGCTTGGAGGAAACGAGCCCCCCTGGACCTGGCCTCCACCACATGGGTGTACAGACGGACACACACTCCACACGCACAGACCCACACACAGCAGGGACACACAGCCCTGCACATCACATCGTCATGCTCACAGACACAAAAAGGCCCGTCCCACAGAGGCGTGTACAGATACACAGACACACACGGTCACCCCACGCACACACACTCAGCGAGCTGGTGAAAAAGCGAGAACGATGGCACCCGAGCCAGCACTTTCGCTTCTCCCAGCCTTGCTTCCACATCCGAGGGCCCACCAGTGATACTCCCGCTGAGGGCTGCTGTCCTGCACCAGGACGAGGGTGCAGGGCTCAGCTGGACGCTCCCACCCCCGGGCCTTCCTTCTCCTGTCGTGGCAGGGATGCTGAGGTCCACATTCCACATCTGCCCTAGCCAGCCTGTGCTCTGCCCCACGGTGGGGGTGGATGGTGGGGTGGGAGGGGAGATCTGTGAATGTAATGTGTTTGCCTGCCCTGTGAAGAAGCTGCAGGGCTGATGTTACCGCAGTAACTTTCCTTCAGGGCATTACCATTACACACTGGAATTCCAGCTGGCTTGTGAAGTGGGCGGAGGCAGGAGGGGCTGCCCCCGGGCTGGTTTAGACCTCAGCCCTTTCTCTGCGTGTCTCTGTCCACGTCTCGGTGGCACAGGTCCTGTGACCTGGATGGAAGCTGTAAAGAATGTAGGATCCCAGTGGCCAACACCAGCTTGCCACTGGCAGCTCTCCTTCCACGCTGTGTGGAAGGAACCAGGGCCAAATGCCATCACTGCCGGCCACATACTTTCCACCGCCTTGCAGGACTGGTGGAACAGGGCCTGGCTTTGCACACTGAAGCCAGTGGCGAGGAGTCACAAATCCCCAGGCACCCAAATAATGGTTCTGTTCAACTTCCTGGTTAATTTGCATCCTCCCTGGCATTTGGGTTGGGTCTCTGGGTGCCCCCTGCCAGCACCCTCACCTGGCCCCACCCCTTCCCCCCTTACCCAGCTCAGAGAGCTTCTCGCTATATACCTCAGGGGTCCCACCCTGGGTGGGCCTGGGGAGATCTCTGGAATCAGCCAACCCTCCCATCTAGGTAATGGGAGGGCAGTAGCTATAGGGCCCCTCGCTCTATTGTTTGAGGACTAAAGGAGAGAAAGCACTTCCAGCTTTACGAGGGCTCCACTCCACAGCTGTGATGCATTGCAGTTCATCGGATCTGAGTGACGATTGGGGGCTGGGGACAGTGAGGGAGCTACAAAGGGAGGTACACTTGGTCATGTTGGGCTGTGGGCGCCCTGCTAAATAATTTGGGCAAGGCAAGAGCAGGAAGTCACGGGACACGACTACAAAGACCTTTCTGGTGGCTGGCCCTGTGGAGGAATGGAGGAGGGAGCTAGAGGCAGGGACTCAGCTAGGGAGCCTTGCAAGAGCTGGTGGTGGCCCCCTGGGGGCAGGGGGCAGGGGGAGGGGTGGGGGGGCTGAAGTGAAAGATTCAGGAGGAAGTTTCCATGGTGTTTGAGGGCAGGTTGGGGAGCCTTGGAAAAACATAAACTCCGGGGTAGCCCCCATTTCTTTCCCCTAGCTTGGCCTCTCAAGGTCTTCCATTCTTCTACCAAATCCCTGGGACCGGGAGGAGGTATGGGGCAGGGATATTGCTACTCAGTGTGGGTGTGCAGGGAGGAGCACCCACCCCGCCTCTTCTGCCTCAGCAGTGGGGTCCTGCCTCTCTCGCTCACAGCCCCAGAGAGATGGGTGGGGCTGCAGGTGAGGAAAGGGCTTTCCAAAGGCCTCGAGGCTTTCGGAATCTTTCCCTTCTTTGTCACTGTGGTGTCCCCCCACCTCCTTGTCCCCAGGATGCGTCCCCCTGGGCCTCTTGTCACAGATGCTTGTGACACTATTGTCTCTGCACACACTACTTCCCTACCCCATTCCTCTGCAGGCCCTACCCGCCTCCCCCTGGGACATTCTCACTCAGAAATGCTGACCCCAGGATCCTAAGTGGTGTGCAAGGTGGCTCCACCAGCTGAGTTTCATCTGCCTGAACCCCCAGTCTCGGGAAAGATAGGCACACACACAAAATCACTCCCATGCCCACATACATGATTGCACACATATGCTAGGGAGTAAAATATAAAATCCAGATTAGTTTTCTACAGAACATAAAAATTCAGAGAACACATTCTTCTGTTATAATTTTGAGATCCTTGCCAGGGGGCTGGGATCCAGGCTTTTGAGGAGGGACATGGCAGAGGCTGCCAGGGCCCTCCGAGTCTTCTGGTGGCCCAGGTCACCCCCCTGCTCCCTCTCCTTGCGTGCCCATAGTCACCGCCCCCCCATGCAGAGTGCTTTCTAATGGTGGCCTTGTGCTGTATGCTCCTGGGGGTGCCCGCAGCCCCCTGCAGGGCCTGGGAGTGGAGGCAGTCTGCTCAAGTTGCCTCTCCATGGCTGGTCAGGAAAGTAACCTCTGTCCTTCGGTGCCTCTTCCCGCCCAGAACCTGAACATCCAGGTGGAGGACATCCGGATCCGACCCATCCTCTCCACCTACCGCAAGCGCACCCCTGTGACAGAGGGCTATGTGGAGGTGAAGGAGGGCAAGTCCTGGAAGCAGATCTGTGACAAGCACTGGACGGCCAAGAATTCCCGCGTGGTCTGCGGCATGTTCGGCTTCCCTGGGGAGAAGACGTACAACACCAAGGTGTACAAGTAAGAGGCCCCCACAAGACGTGTGTTTCTGGGCTGCGGCCGGGTTTCTGAAGGGTGAGTTCTGGTGGCAGGCACTGGGCAGAGGGCCTCCGCCAGCCGGCCGGCTGTCACAGGCAGGCCTCGCCTCCGAGTAAGTCACACTCCTGTGGGAGACAGACCCCACATGGATGACAAGGCAGAATGAGGGGAGGGTGTGGCAGAGGGGACGTGCAAGTGAAACCCCACCTCTCAGCACTGACAGCCAGCTCAGTGACGGGGGCAGAACCAGGACAGCGCCAACTAAGAAGAAATGTTTCCTTGCCCTCAGTAACCAATTAGTCTGAAAAAATCGGGAATTCACAGAAACTGTTAGGAAATTCAATCAGTTACACCAATCCCAATGAAATCTTATAACTTTGTTATAATTTCCAAAGATAATACCTCCCGGACGCGGCGGGGTGGGGGCTGGCAGAGGGGTGGAAACAATAATGGGTTTTAAAGGGGTGTCCGGGAGAGGGGCTGTACCCAGTGACAGGCTGGCAGCTGGGGTGCACTGGTTAGTGGTGGGGCCTTCCTCTCTCCTCTTAATGATGAGAACCCGTTTCCTGGGAGCTCCCGCCATGCCAGGCTCCACCCTTGGTCGTTTAGTCCTCACAGCACAAGGAAGTAGGGGTTGATTTTAGAGTTGAGGAAACAAGTCAGAGAAGAAAGCGGTAGATCTAAGGTCCAAGCACAGGTCTGCCGCTGTGGGGTCCACATTCCCACACAGTATGGACTCCCAACCCTTTCCTTTCCAGCCAGAGGGAGCCAGGACACGTGGGATGCAGCCCCAGCTCTCCCTCTGGGTCCCTGGGGTCAGGGCAGACCGCAGGTCCCTGGGCTCGGCCTGGCTGTTTTGGGTCGGTCCCCAGGCCACTGTGAGGCTGAGTGCTGGTGGCTGTGCTGCTCAGCTGGGCGGGCTCTCTAACCCCACATGGGTAACCTTAGTGGAGATCCCCACCCCAGACACCCCCCAGACATGGCCCAGACCTTCCTGTTCACACTGGGGTTCCCAACCTCTGAATACTTTGAAGAACACCTGCCAGCTGGCCGGTTCCTTAACCTTCTTAGCTTCTCCTACTGTTGGAGGCAAGAAAAGCAACTGCTCACCCAGATAGACTCCCACCTGGCTGCCCTACAGTGTCCCAGTCTGGCAGCTGCTCTGGGCCTGGGAAAGCTGCCATCGGCCCTGCCCAGGGCAGGATGGGGTACCTAAGGCTTAGGGAGATTGAAATCTCACAGGTGTGGATGAAAAGGAGCTGCATACAAAACCTGACAAGCTCAGGGGAGGCCTGCGTGCAGCCTTACAAATTCAGAGACCTAACGTAACCACATAGGATGGTGTGAAATTGAAACCTTCTAATTAAAAGCAGTCCTGTCCTAGGCTTGGATCTTCCTTGATAAAAGCCAGTCTTCGACTTAAATGAGCCTTTCTGTTGTCTCTTTACATCTAGGATAACATACCTGATAAATATGCCTTTGCAATAGCAAAGTATTTCCCTTTTTCTGGACCCTTCATTGCTACTGTTATCATGTTAATTGTTGATTATTAACTATCCTGCACTCACCTTTGTAAAAGAAGTATGTGTCGGGGCTTCCGTCAAGATGGAGGCATAGGTAGACACCCCTCGCCTCATTGTACAACCATAAGAAGGTACACAACTAAATTATAATAAAAAAACACCCAGAACTGTATGGAAGTCTGACAACCAAGATTTAAAGAAGCTATATTCATCCAGATGGGTAGGAGGGGCAGAGATGGGGAGTTGGGGCAGAGAGGACTCAGTGTGTGTGGCAGGCGAGCCAGGGGCGGAGAAGCGGCAAGGTGGCTGGCGGAACAAGCAGCCCCACACTCACGTGTGGTGGACAAAAATCAGGGAGACACCTGTGAGCGAGCCCAGCCCCAGGCCAGACGGCGCAGCCCAGGGCTCCAGTGCTGGGAAAAATAAAGCCTGGTAACTTCTAGGTATAAACCCAATGGAGGTTGGGGTGGCAGAAAAAACTGCCAGTTCATATACACACTCACCCACCCTGGGAACCACAGCCAGGACAGCAGCTGGAGGCGTGCCAGTCGCGTATGGGAAGTGGTTGAAGTGACTGAAAAAAAGGGCAGGGGCCAGTCAAGCCCCCAGCCGACAGCTGTATTGTCCCCTCTCTGACTCCTTCCCCACACACAGATAGTTGCCCCGCCCTGGTGAATACCCAAGGCTCCACCCCTTATGACTTAGAAGGTGCGCTGAAATGGACTCACAGTGGCTCTACCTAGTATACAGACACAGGGAGGCTGCCAAAATCAGGACACAAAGAAATAATGGCCCAAATGAAGGAACAGAATGGAACTCCAGAAAAAGAACTAAGCAATGCAGAAATAGCCAGCGTATCAAATGCAGAGTTCAAAACACTGGTGGTCAGAATACTCAAAAAAGATCTCATTGAATACAGCAAAAGCATAAGGAAAGAAATGGAGACTCTACTGAGGGAAATCCACAGGAAACCAACAGTGAAGGAAAGGAAGCCTGGATTCAAATCAGTGATTTGTAACATAAGGAAGAAGTAAATTTTCAATGAGAACAAAATGAAGAAACAAGAATTCAAAACAGGGAGAGTTTGAGAAGACTCTGGGACATCTCCAAAAGGGCCCACATCAGAATCAGAGGGGTGCCAGAAAGAGAAGAGGAAGAGCAAGAAATTGAAAACTTATTTGAAAAAATAATGAAAGAAAACTTCCCTAATTTGGCAAAGGAAATAGACATACAAGTCCAGGAAGCACACAGAGTCCCAAATAAGTTGGCTCCAAAGAGGTTCACACCAAGACACATCATAATTAAAGTGCCAAAGGTTAAAGAGAAAGAGAGAATCTTAAAGGCAGCAAGAAAAAAGCAGAGAGTTAACTACGAAGGAGTGCCCATAAGACTATCAACTGATTTCTCAAAAAGCAAGGACATACATCCAAGATTACTCTGCAAAGCTATCACTTAGAATTGAAGAGCAGATAAAACTGCTCCCCAGATGAGGTAAAGCTAAAGGAGTTCAGCATCAGCAAGCCCTTATTATATGAAATGTTAAAGGGACTTATCTAAGAAAATGATAAAAAAATGTGAACAGTAAAATGACAACAAACTCACAACTATCAACAACTGAACCTAAAAAACAAAAACAAACTAAGCAAACAACTGGAACAGGAACAGAATCACAGAAATGGAGATCACATGCAGGGTTATCAGTGGGGAGGTGGAGGGTGGAGAATGGGGGAAAAGGTGCAGGGAGTAAGAAGCATAAATGGTAGGTAGAAAATAGACAGGGGGAGGTTAAGAATAGTATAGGCAATAGAGAAGCCAAAGAACTTACATGCACAACCCATGGGCATGAACTAAGGTGGGGAATTGCAGGAGGGAAGGGGGGAGCAGGGAAGAAAGGGGAAAGATTGGGACAATTGTAATAGCATAATCAATAAAACATACCTTAAAAAAAGAAGTGTCTGTCATTTTACTTTTTATCCAATCCCAGAGGCTTCCCCACTTTTTTTTGCCTCCCTAATCTACCACCAATGGATTTCATGTACCTCACTTACGTCTTCTCTTTTGATTGTATTGTATAAAATAAGGTGCAAAACTGCCTTTTTCCAGAGCATTTTCTCAATCCATTGAGGTTTTACTTCCCAGCAATTGTCATCAGTTTGGCTCAAATAAACTCACAAAATTTCTGACAGGTTTGGATGTTTCTCACGTTGACAAAGTGGATTTGTCATTTGAGACTTACTGCCTCCCCCTGGAGGGCCCGGAGGACACACTGTTCGCCAGACCTGAGGAGTAGCTCTGCGAGGGGAGCCCCAGTGCCCTTGGAGGGCTCCGACCGCCCTTCTCTGTAGGCCAGACCTCACAGTGGGACTGCCGTCACCGAACTGGGACACCAAAATGCTATGGGGGTCATTGATCCTGAGGTGGTAGTGGCCAAGTGGCAGCACTGAGCCACCAAAGGCAAGGTGGGTGTGGTGATGGCATGGACAGCAGGCTCATGCTGCAATCAGAATAGCCGCCTGATGTGCACAGACCCACGGCACTGGCTGGTCAGTCATGCTGTTCCTAGGAATGAAGCATAGGACAGTCGTGTGCTGCTTAGCAATGGACATGCATTCTGAGAAGTGTCATTAGGTATGAGCCTCATAGAACACACTACCCCAATCTTGACGGTACAGCCTGCTGCACACTTTGGCTGTGTGACATACCGCCACCATGCCTGCATCGTCACTGACCGTAAAGTTGTACGGGGGGACCCAAAACAGCCCAGATTTATTTATTAAAAATTGCATATTTATTCTTAAATGTTTAAACTCCAGTCACCTTCAAAGTACTCTCCATTTTAAAAAATATTTTATTTATCTTTAGAGAGAGGGGAAGGGAAGGAGAAAGAGAGGGAGAGACACGTCAATGTGCAAGAAATACATTGATCGGTTGCCTCTCACACGCCTCCAACTGGGGACCCAGCCCGCAACCCAGGCATGTGCCCTGACTGGGAATCAAACCAGTGACCTTTTGGTTTACAAGCTGGCACTCAATCCACTGAGCCACACCAGCCAGGGCAAAGTACTCTCCTTTGATGCAATACATCTATTGAGGCATTTTTTTCCACTGCTCAAAACAGTTTTTGAACTCATTGATTTTGATGCCTTTTAGTGTTTCTGCCACTTTTTTTGTTTCATCCTTTTGAGGATTTTTTATCCGGGGAAACAACAAAAGAAAGGCCTCTCAGGGTAAGATGAGGTGAATAGGAAGGGTGGCTACATTTTTGGTCAGAAACTGCTGAACACTCAGTACAGTGTTGGCAGGTGCACTTGTAAATCGCTCTTCATGAAGTGGGCAAACACATTGGGAAAGTCTTTAAAAAAAATTCACTAAAGCCTCTCACAGCCTCTCACAGTAACACTGTCTGGTGCACTGATACAGATGGGTTCCTAGAACACTCACCTAGCGGGGGAAGCCTGTACTACAAGAGGCCCACCCTCCAGAAGATAATTTTATTTGTGGGGGGTCCCCCTTGTGTATGGGGAATGACTATAGACAGAAAGCCTACTAAATTCTTTCTTGTTCTCTATGAGCAGAAAAGCTCCAGGTCAAGTGAACAAAGTCTAACCTGAATCGTAAAAACAGAGTCAAAGCCCTCAGTCAGTTACCAGTCTGGAGCCGGTTTTCAGACCCAGAGCCCACCGAGTGAAGAGGGGCTGGGTCCCCTGGAGGGTGGACCCTGATGCACTGCCTGAAGTTCGCACCGTTTGTCTTCCTCCCAGCCTTCTGCAAAGGCACCTCGGCTCCCTTACCAGGAAAGCTGCATTAGGACAGAGGAAACAGTTGGGACTTCAGGTTGATCCTGGACACTGGCTCTGAACTGAAACACAGCGGAGACCCACGGGTCGCTGTGGCCCCCAGTCAGAGTAGGAGGTTGTGGGGGCCAGGTGACCCACCGAGTTTTGGCTCACATCGTCTCACAGTGGGTCCCAGACCCCATCCTGTGTAATCTATGTTGAAGTAAGAAATGTCCAAACCTGTAAGAATTTTTATGGATTTATTTGAGCCAAACTGATGACAATTACCAGGGGATCTGTGTGGTCTTTGCTGTGGTGGTTGTGCCCTGAAGGGTCTGGGGAAAAAGGGAAATTACCCTGACATTCCAAAGGTTGGTTATTGTAGATTCAAAAAGACAGTGGACAAACTCAGTTAAGGGAAGATTGACCTTTGTCTAGGAGATTCTAGCCTAGGACATGACTGCCCAACCGTGACCCGCTTTTAGTTAGGAAGTTCTAGTTCCAGACCATTTATGTGGCTATTTTTAGGTCTCTGAGTTTGTAGGGCCCACCATGCAGGCCTCCCCTGGCTTATCAGGTTCAGTACGTGGCCCCCTTCTCGTCCACGCCTGCTTCCACAATGCACACTTGGAGCAGACGTGCTCAGCAGCTGGCAGGGTTCCTGCAAAAGCAGGGCTCCCCTTGGCTCCAGGAGAGAGCCAGTGGGACTTGTTGTTTTTCATGAAATCTGCCCAGCCCTGTGTTCTTGCTGCACAGCCACAGACCTGGACACCTCTTTCCCAAGTGGGCTCCTCACCCATGCCAATGGCTGTCCCTAACCCCACTCCCCGTCCAATCACCAGGCCTGGAGTGGGCTACCCACCCATCCCCGTCCCCACCCCGTACCCGTCTGCAGGCCCTGGGGCCTGTCTGGCGTGGATCACGGGGCAGAGCGGGGGCCGGGGGGTGCTGCGAGACAGGAGCCTGTGGGGGTCAGGGGGATTCCTGTGAGCTGATGTAAGAGGGAGTCAGGGCTGTGGGGCAGCGGCGGTCAGGACTCTGCTCCTGGCAGAGTCGCTGTTCTCTGAAAGCTGAAGGCTGAAGGACTCTCCGAGGCAGTGGGAGCTGACGCATTCTTGCACAACTGGTACCCCCAGCACGCCCTCTGTCCTGATGTGGGTGTCATGGGGAACACGCTGGAGGTTGTGGCTCCACGTGGGGAGGGGCAGTGGTTCCTGGAATTATCCCCAGTCCTCTGGATAGTTCTTCACTCCAGGCTGCAGCCCTGAGAGCACAGGTCCTGCATTTTCCAGGACAGGCCTCTTCAAAGATTCTGGGTCACTGCACCCACAATTGTACTGGAATTATACATCTCGGTTTTGGTTACAGAAAGATATTGGTGTGTCTGTGTTCACATCCCATTCACTTGGAGACAAAGCAGGAACCCGCAGGCCTGCTGGGCCAGTGGGGTCAGGACCTTGCTTCTGTTTCCTGCAGGGGTCAGAGGGCCCTGGGAGCCCCACACTGGGCAGCCAGCAACGGTGCTGCCTGCCTCCCTCTGGCAGCTCAGGGGTCCTGACAGGCTGGGGCAGGCACACAGGCCTCAAAGAGCTAGGACAGACTGAGATGAGAGGACAGGGTGTCCTCTGCCTTCATTCAAGGCCCAGTTCAAACCCTACTCTTCTGTGAAGTCGTCCTTTGTCACCCCCACCACGGGGATCCCACCCTAATCTCATCTCTTCTGTTTCTCTTTTACCTAGTACGGTTTTATTTATTTATCTTACAAACACGGGCGTTTGTAAGCCCTTCCTGTGTGCTGGGCACAGCGCTCAGTGCTCCACAAGTAGTACTGATGCTACCTTCGAGTAGATCCTGATGCTGCTTCTAACTTGGAGATGGGGAAACTGAGGCACAGTAACCTTTCTGTTAACCAGCTCAGTACTCATTGACTGATCATTGTTTTAGAAAAAACTTTGGCTCCCCTTGGTCCATACTCTGCCTTCCATAGAAAGGATAGTGACACAGGGCAGGAGCTTCCCGAAGACTCGGTGCAGAGACAGACTCAGCCTCACTGGCTCCCGCCGGGTGAGGATTTCACCAGGGCTGTGGCTGAGCTTCGTCACCAGTATGATTTTTTCTTACCAAGCAAATGATTCTTTCATTCAGCAGAGGAGTCACTTTAGATTGTTCTCTTCACATTTGCATCCCTGGTGACCTTGTGTATCCTCAGGAGAAAATGTAATGACCCAGTGGCACTACTTGTTGACAGAGAGAAATAAAGGCATGTGACAAAAACAGGCATTTTCTAAAGGGTCCAGGTGACCCACTGTTGTGGTTTGCCCAGCCAGGACTGAGGGGTTTCCTGGGACCAGGGGTCCCGTCTCTTTCAGATCCCTTTTTGCATTTTGTATCAATGGGCCTTAGAATTATTTCACCACGCTGAGTTAGTCTCCTGTCTCCTAGAATGTAAGCTGCCTGGCGGCAGGAGGCCATGTCCCCTTTCCAGGCCCAGGGCCCAGCACAGTGCCACGCGCTCAGTGAGGGCTTGCAGGCACGCTGTGCAGGTTCCTGTCTGTGAGCCCTGCGGGGCTCCAGGTGCAGAGGCCATGCCGCCTGCCCGGCTCCTGCAGCCCATGCCCAGGAGCCGGTACAGTGTCTGGCCTGAGGCAGAGGCCCGATGCCTTGCTGTCAGAGGAATGAGGGGCGGGTTCCAGGACACTCAGGTCACCTGGCCGCGGCCCTCCCCCCCCGCCCCCCGCCCCCATCCTCTACAGGATGTTTGCCGCCCGGAAGAAGCAGCGCTACTGGCGGTTCTCCATGGACTGCACGGGCACAGAGGCCCATATCTCCAGCTGCAAGCTGGGCACACAGATGACTCGGGACCCTGTGAAGAACATCACCTGCGAGAACGGGCTGCCAGCGGTGGTGAGCTGCGTGCCTGGCCAGGTCTTCAGCCCCGATGGACCTTCAAGGTTCCGGAAAGCCTACAAGCCGGAGGTGAGGATGGGGCAGGAGTCCGGCCCTGGGGCCCCTGGGGTGGGTGGTGGCAGCTGAGGGAACAGACAAAGCCCCCAGGAAAGTGAGGGGAGCTGGCCCCCAATCAGACTGATGTTCTAGAGGACAGGAAAGTGCACAGCACCTGTCAGGGCCAGCCTCACAAATAGATGCCACCTCTCGAGTGTGACAAGCACCTGGCCCCCTGCCCCAAATCATAGCACCCCTTCCACCACCGCTGCTCCACTCTGAGACCAGGGTCCTCTCTGCGGAGGACAGATACCCCTGCAGGAGAGGAGAGCGCCTCAGTGTCGACATTTACTGTCTGCTGGATTGGAATGGGAGGGGGGCACCTTATGCTTCTGCATGATTCCCAGAGGGCAGAGTGTTTTAGAGCTTTTGGAAATGCAATACAGCTCTTAAAAGTACGTGAGATCAGCTACAAAGGTTTTCAAGCATGTCTTGGTTTATTCCATAATAGAAAGGATTAAAATTTTAAAAAGCTTTCACAAAAAAAAATGGAAAGCTGCCATTACCATGTCATCTGTTCCCACGAGTCATGTTATAGGTATGGGCACGAGCGCTTGTGCATGGGTGTGCGTGTGTGTGCACAGGCGTGTGTGTATTCGGGAGATGTTGGTGCACATCTGCTCGTGTAAATGAACGCCTCATTTCAGCAGGCTGATTTCCCAATACCAGGGAACCACCCCAGCCAGGGCGGGCTTGCGTGTCTCTAAGGCAGTGTTTTGCCTTCTCTTGAAAATCAGGAAGAAGCTTTCCTTTTTCCTTCTCTTTGTTTCTCATCTGTCCACTGAAGGGTCTCTGGGGTTTGCAAGTTCTGGAAACTGCTAACATGAGGCCAGTGGGTGGAATAGTGGGTGGCAAATAGCACATGGGTAACTAGAGGGAGGGGTAGGAAAGAGCATTGAGCATTTCTTAGGGAACGATTCCCTGTGCCAGATAAAACCCTGGGACCTCAGGATCAGCCAGTTGGCAGGGGTGAGCTCCCAGTCAGCTCTGAGCCTGGCAGGGTAAGCGGAGGGGGAAAGGTCTTGGTGGCGGCAGATGGGGCGGAGCAGCAGACCCTCCCCAAGCCTGGAAGGTTTTGTCGGAGGAGGTAGTGCCCTCCTGTCTCCTTTCCTCTCCTTGCCTGCCCTCCTGCCTTTCCCCTCTGCCCTCCCCAGTGGCCTCTCCCTGCCAACATCAATGACCTGCTTTTGGAAAGGGGGCAACAACACTCATCCGTCAAACCAGGACAGGAGACAGATAAACCAAACCGGGGGTCCCTCCCAGACTGGGGGCGGAGTGTTTGGACAAAAGAGGAGGCCTTAAAGACAAGGAGTGGCGTGGCTCCTGCAGCCCCGCAGTGGAGCAGAGGGTGTGGGAACTGCTTGCAGTGCTTCGTCACCCAGATCCCAGGCCCTACTGTTTGGAAACCCCTCTTACCGTGTGGTTTAAAGCAAAGGAATCAAGCTCATACCACGCCAATTAGAAAAGGAAAAAAGCAGGGGAGCCTGACATCATATTTTCCCTCAGTGACTCTGCCTGGCCGCTGCAGGCTGCCGCTGGGTTCTTGGACTGTCTGCTCCATGGGGAGGGGCTCTGGCATCTGGCTAGACCACTCGGGTAGGGAGGTGGGGGAAGGAAATGGGCGGAGCCAGGAGTTTTACTTGTTTTCTAAAGCTAGAAGCAGGGCTGTTGAAACCAATGGGCCTTCTACACCCACCATTGTCCCTTTTTTCTTCTCCCCCTAGTGCCAGGGTCAGAGGACTCCCTGCGATCAGTAAAACTGGGTGCTGCCACAGTTGGTGGGGGAGAGAGGTGTGGCCAAGGGGGGGGCCTCAGTGGAGGATGGAGACACAGGGTCCCATTTGATCCCGTGGCCCTCAAGGTGGCTGATACCTGTGAATGTTTAAAGACATCACCTCCAACCAGGCCTGCTTTGGCCGGACTGTCGGTGGGGGTGGGCAGTAGGGTGAAGGGCACCCTGGGCTGAGGACTACACAGGCCAGAGTAGGACAGTGACTGGTCTGATGCGATACATATTGAATGGCTGCACAGTCACCCCTTCGTCCCTCTGTGTTGGATCAAATGACAGTCAGCAGTAACTCAGAGCCTCGAAGCCTTCGGAGTACCCCACCCCAACTCGACACGCACAGGCACACAGGCATGCACCAAATTGATGCAGATTGGGGCATGTGGGCAGATGGAGTCCAGTGACCCGGGTCCCATCGAGACTGTGTGATCCAATGGGGTCGTGACGCTGGTGGAGAGCAGGTCCCACCCGGTGCAGTGGAATAGACCCCATAGGAGATAAGGCTTCCAGGCTGTTCGTGAGCAATTAGGGTGTTTAAACCAGAATCACCCACTCTGTCTGCATCTTCTGAAGAGTGGGGCCGATTTGGACTTGGAGTAGAGCCAGGGGTGACAGGAGCAAAGGGGTGGCCAGGCAGGAGCCCTGGGGTTACAGCACTGCAACAAGCCAGGGAGATGACAGTCCAGCTGGGCTCTGCAGACTTTTGGGGTTGGGAACTTCTTTCTGTAGCTCTAAAGCCTGAGGCTGTGGATGAGGGGATGGAGGGAAGGGCTGGTGGTAAGGTCCTTGAGCCAGGCATGGGTTGCGGGGACAAGGTGATGAAGCACAGTCCCCTGCCACACATAGGAACACATGTACACATCTAGTACAGTTCTAGTTCCTGGCCTGGGGGCCCGGCTCTGAGTGGGGCAGTTGGGAAGGGAGGGCAGTGGGCCATGACCGCCCGCTGATCATGCCTCAGCGCCTACACTCAGCAGAACCGTGTGTCTCTTCAGCAGCCCTTGGTGCGGTTGAGAGGCGGTGCCAACCTCGGGGAGGGCCGTGTGGAGGTGCTCAAGAACGGCGAATGGGGTACCATCTGCGATGACAAGTGGGACCTGGTGTCTGCCAGCGTGGTCTGCAGAGAGCTGGGCTTTGGGAGTGCCAAAGAAGCCCTCACTGGCTCCCGGCTAGGGCAAGGTAAGGAGTGGGGAGGATGCCCCGCTGCCCATCTTTGCAGGGATCTGGCTGGCCTGGGGCTCTCCCCGCTCTTCCTGCTCCCCCTCCCACCTCCAGCAGGTGTTCCCCTTGGAGAGTCTCAGGCCTCTCCCCGGGCAGTCGGAGCTGGAAGGGCCTTGGGGAACACAGCATCCCCATTTTCCAGATCTGGAAACTGAGGCCCGAAGAAGGGAGTAAGTTACCAAGAAGAGACAAGATATTAGCAGCCAGTGAATACTTTAATGGGGGTCTCCCAGCTGCCCTACTGAGAAACTGGAACTCTCAGGAAGATGCCCCAGGAGAGCACCTCAGGCTCATCAGGCTGTGGACCACCCTGGGCTCAAAGGAATGGCCAGGTGCTCTGACTTTTCCCCTCTGGTGCCGCCCCACATACATCCTCTCCCTGCTACCAGAGACTGGGAACAAGATGGCCCTCTCCAGCTAGTCATGAGATGCTAAGGAGAAGGGCCCTGGTTCTTATTAAGTGTCCTGAAAAAACCTTCCACTTGAGCAAAGAACCAAATATAGGAGACTCTCAAGTGGGTCACTGTGTTGAGAACAATGTTGTGAACATGACATGGCAGCAGCATCCCCTCCCGCCAAGCCGGGGGACCAATGACCCGTGCAAGCCCTGGACATTCAGAAGGAGGCTCTTCGCCCCAGACAAACTGCAGCCCCGTGAGTGCCCAGCCCGCTCCTGGAGAACTGTGGGCTGAGCAACAGGAACCCGCCCCTCAGTGTTGACCAGCAGGGAGGCCGCAGTGGCCCAGGGCTGCCGTGGTGGGGGGGCGGGGGTGGAGGAAGGAAAAAGCCATGGGTGAGTTGTGCAGTGTCCTATCCTGCGGGCAGAGGTGTTTCCATTCTGTCAGAAATGAGGCCGTTGCCCCACAGAAAGGAATGTGGTGAGGTCATAGATCACAGTCAGAGGAGATAATAGCCCAGTGGGCTGGAGAGAGAGTCCCAGGCCATCTGGTCCAAAAGATGAGGGATTTGACAACAAGCCTGAGGTCATCCCCACAGTTATGGCAGAGAAAGGCTGAAACCCCAGTCTTCTGACTCAGACGAGGTCCTCAGATGAGGACCCTTCGCACCCAGTCTGGCTCACATCCAGAACGCCTCTCTACCTTCACTCTCCCATCCCACAAACTTCCTGGGTGTGCACAGAAGTTTGGGGTCTAGGGTGGACTTTAATGTCATAGTGTGCCACTTGGTGTCCTGACAGTCCTCCTCCCTGCTCATGTCAAGCAATTCACACTTCCCTCAGATCTCGAACATTCCTACAGTTCATGTTCCTGATTGGCTGGCGTGATGGTTCGTGCTCTCCCAAGGCTGACAGGACAGCTCATTCTGAGGAATAAACAAGCACTGGGTGGCATAAACATCCCATGTCCCCTGGCCATGTGCTCTTAGTCCTAATTACTTCCCTGCCCAGCAGCTGCCAGGTCCCGAGGGCCTGCGGAACTCCGAGAAAGAGATGTTTGGCGTTTTTGGTGCTGTCCTTGAAAGAACTATTGGATGATTTAGTATCTGCTGCCACACAGGGTGGACTCAACTCTGGTGGACAAGAAGAGAAAAATCCACATTCAATGTCAAATCACAGAGCAGCTGGGGCCTGTCCCTCAGTCCTGGTTCTGACTGGTGGACCAAGTGACCACATCCAAGCGAGGGCACTGAAAGGGTGATGACTGAGAGTCAGGGTATCTGAGCCCCGGCTCCGGCCCTGTCACTGTTTGCACAGTGACTTTGAGCGACCTTCTGGGCCTCAGGATCTTTACTGGATTCATGATATTGGAGGTTCCATCTGGCTGCAGCCTCCTGTGATTCTCTGAAACTTTCCCCGGCAGGGAAGTCGTGTCAGAGTCCAGCTCTGCACTTTGTGCCATGGGGCCCCTGCACTCACCAGCATCCCAGCCGTCTGCTTGTGCACCCACCAGCCCCCTTGACCGAGCTGCATGCAGGAGGGCCTGTGTCTCTTATCTCTGTGTCCTCAGTGTTGAATCTGTGCCCAGCTCGTGGGGCTCCAGGAACATTCATTTTATGAAGAGCGAATGAACAAACGAATGGATGGGTTGCAGTTGCATAAGCAGGGTCAGCTGAGTGAACACTAGGTGAAGAAGTGTCTGCAGTCAAGACTTGCACTGTCCAACAGAAAGGCCATGCAAGCCACATGCATAATATTAAATTTTCTAGATGTAATTTTAAGTTTTTGAGTAGGTACATGAAAGAGAGAGAGAAAAGAAACAGGTGAAATTAATTTTAATAATGTATTTTCTTTACCCAGCAGATATGAAATATCTTGATTTCAACATGAAATAAATATAAATGCTATTAATGAGATAGTTGACACGTTGTGCACTAACTCATTGGAACCCAGGATGCTCTCTATACTTACAGCACATCTCGGTCTGAACTGGCCACATTGCACATGCGCAGTGTGCCTGGGGCTGCTGTATCGGATGGGGAAGCTCTAGAGCAGCAATTTGCACCCGGTGTGCTGCAAGAATTTTTAACACAAGCAACACCTGACTAATTAGTCAGGGGCACGGATCTCTTTTCCCTTAGATCAAATGAAAAAAATGACAGTAGCCAACACAATCACAGCTGTCTGGTGTGAATGAATCAAAACTATACTGATTTTTTGACAGATTGGCCAAAATAGATATTCTGGTGTGCTGCAGACCTTCAGGAATCAGCTAATGTGTGCCGTGAGATGGAAAAAGTTTGGAAAACACTGCTCTAGAGCATTGGCTTTCACCCCCTTTTGCTTGCAGCCCCCAGGGAGAGATGCACGTGACAGCGCATGCACACCGGTACAGCTGAGATAAGGTCGTGTGAATTGATGCCAATCTTTGCAACACGCAAGGCACTCTGCTATGTCCTGTTCTATTCTTCTGGCTCTTAAAACTCTGATTCTAACCTGCAGAGTTGATTGTGGGTCCAGAGTCCATACCTTGCTCCAAGAGGTGAGGAGTGGCTTTGTCCCAGCACCCCTCTCCTGCCCCAGACCGTTGGTCATCTGGGGCTGGAGCTTGTACAAGGAGGAAGAGCAGGGCCAAGGTGGAGCTGGGGAGCAATTCAGAGTCCAGTGAGAACCCAGGAGGAAGGGAGTGCTGGAGGTCAGAATGCATGTCAAACCTAGGTCAACAAAAGTGGCCAGGATCCTGCAGAGCCCACTGGGCATGCTGCAGCTGGACACCCAGGCCAGGGCCCTCCACTGATGCCCCTGGCCCTGCCCACCCTGCTGCAGGACTGGGTGGTGCAGAAAAGAGCAGGGCAAATACTGGTTTTCCCATTTCTGTGCCCTGCCCCTCTGTCCCAGGAATATGCGTGCTTCAGGGAAGCCCAATAAATATTAGATATCCTCATCAGTACCACCATCATCACCACCATTATCACCACCACCACCACCATCATCATCCTCATCCTCACAATCACCCGACAGGTTCTGTCTGATCTAAGTGGAGTCTACAGTTGCTGCTCGTTTCTATGTTCACCTTAATTCGTGAGCTGCAGCCTCTGCTCGCCCTGTTTAGGATCGGTCCTGTGTCTCTGCCTTTCCACTCTGAGTCTTTGGATGCATCCAGCCATAGTCAGCGCTGTGCCTTCATTAATGTTGTAAAACTCCAAGGAACTGGAGGCTCCATCATTTATGAATTTCCAAGGAACTGGAACTTGGTTCTTACCTAGTACCACGGATGGCTGTTAGAAGTTAATTTTTGGCCTCAGTGAGCCTAGATACTGGTGTCTACAGAACCCCATGACAGAGCCAGGGGCCCTCCCTTTGGGTTTAAAACATAGGCAGTCGCCTCCACTGTTGATTGCATCATATTACAAGACTTCGTATAAATGTCTTCCTGCCCCACGCAGTCTGACTGCTTGCTCTTTGTGGCAGGGCCTGCCTTCTTCGTGTGAGTCCCACCACCTGGCACAGGGCTGACATGCACCAGCTTTTCAGTGCAGTCCATGCGTCCGTTCGGATACTGTTTGCCAAGGCCTGGCTGGGAACACAAAGGGAACGCAGACATGGCGCCTACCCTAGTGGGGAGGCAGGCAGACATTGAACGTGAAGCAGAGTCCTCGGTAGAAGGCTGCCCAAGAAGACCCAGCTTAGATGGTGCCAGGAAGGCTTTCCGTGGAAATGGCATTGAAGCCGGGCACCCGAAACATGAGCAGGAGTTAGCTGGTGAGGACTGGGAGGAAGACAGTCCAGGCAGGGGGTCCACACAGAGGGAAGCACGTGGCTCCATGGAGCAACTGAAAAAGACATTGTGGCTGAGGGCGAGGAGCTGGCAGAGCCAGAAGGCTAAGCGGACATCAGATCCTGCAGGGCCTGCCAGGCCGTCTGGGAACTTAGGATTTTGCCATGAAGGGCAGTGAGAAGCCATTGCAGGGATTTCAGGCCAGCAGGGACATGGTCTGATTTGCATTAGAAAATCCCTTGGGCTACCGTGTAGAAATAGTTTTGGAATAAGCAAGCAGGAGAGAGGCTAGAAGCTGCTGAATTCATCCAAGTGGGAAGTGGCAGGGCTGGACTGGTGTGGTGTCAAGAATGAGAGAGCAACAGCACTCGGCTTTGGGGGAGTGAACAGAACACAGCAACGGATTGTGTGCCGGTGAAAACGGAGGCAGTGCTAGAGATGACCCAGGTTTCTGATGAGGGTCACCGGGTAGGCAGAGGGGCCCTTGCTGGCGAGGGGGAAGGGCTGGCAGGGAAACAGACTGGGGACAATCCTGCTGCTGGCAGAGAACAAAATGAGTGTCCCTTTCAAGAAGTTCTCTCTGAAGGGGACAAAAGTGGTGTGCCAGAGGGAGGTGTGGAGATCAGGAGAGAGTCGCCGTAAAGACAGGAGATTTGAGCAGGTGTTTGAGTGATGAGGGTCAGGAGGGTGGTGAGCGTCAGATGAGGCAGAAGGTCACAGGCAGGGCAGGGACAAGATGGCAGTCAATGCAGCCCAAAGCTCCTGGGAAGAACTGGACTTCGATCCGTCATGATGGGCTGAACAGAAGACAGGTTGCTTTATGAGCTGAGCTGAGCTGAATGCTGGTCAGGCTGGGAATTCTCTCTCCAGCGGTGGGAGGCCTCCCCTTGGTATCTCGGCACCTATAAGAGAAGCTTCCCGCATGCTCACCGTCAGTCATTTGCTGATTCTTTCATCTGCGCTCCCAGCTCCACTGTCCACACTTGCCCATAAAACTGGGAGGCGTGCTTGGGTGTGGCCAGCAGGGAGCACTGGCAGCAGACTGGAGGTGGGCAGCAGAGAGAGGCCGGGTATTTCTTAAAAGGTCCCTGCAGGCCACCGTGTCCCTCACTGGGGGTAACAGCTCCCATCAGGTGCTTTTCCACACTGCTCTTAGACGTCACCGCCCTCCACTCACCTGCAGGCCCAGGGCTGCTCCCAGTGGCCCCGGGCTATTAGCCCCTGACTCCAGGACTGCCCTTTGTGATGGTGTGATTTCCCTACACTGTGTTCATACCTTTATGTTAAAACCTCTTCTTCTAAGTTCCTTCAGATCATCCAGTTTGAGCATGCCATCAGTTCCCTAAAGGGACCCCGAATGGACTGGGGTAGCCACCCTTTTCTGATTCATAAAACCTGGAAGGTGAGAGTTGGGGAGGAAACCGAGGTGTCTTCTAGTCCAGTTCCTTCATTTAGAGGAGAAAACGATATTCAGGGGGCTGAGCAAGTGGGCCAAGGTCACACGAGTTTGTCCGACCCTCATTAGCCCTTGTGGGAGAAGTGGATTCTGAGACAAGGGGCCATTCTCTCCAGGGAGGAAAGGCAGGGCCGTGGAGCTGACTGTGGGAGGCAGTTGGGAGAGTTTTGAGGATAGGAGAGGCATGTTCTTATTACTTGGGACTTTCTTGCCAGTTCCAGAAACTTTCCTTTGGAAGCCTTCATGGCCCACATTTGTTTTCTCCCCCAGGGATAGGACCCATCCATCTTAATGAGATCGAGTGTGCTGGGAATGAGAAGTCCATCATAGACTGCAAATTCAACGCCGAGTCCCAGGGCTGCAACCACGAAGAAGATGCTGGTGTGCGGTGCAACATCCCTGCCATGGGCTTCCAGAAGAAGGTGAAGAGACTATCACACAGAGGGGACTATGTTACATTCAGGCCATTGAGGCCCCAGAGAGTAGAGACCAAGTGACCTCACTCTGAAGGTTGCTAGTCAGTGAAGGGGCTCTGGTGATGAACTCAGGAGGGGCTCAGGCTCTGCTGTCATCACCATTAATGACAGGGCCACCTAGCATTTTTATGTGTGCCAAATGAGAAAACTTACGTATAAGCACCACTGTCCTTGGTGGCAGATGTTGAGCGTCCACTGTGTGTCACATCCTGCACTTGGGATGTGTGGTGTGATCTCAGTTCAGTCCTTTCTGTGAGGGACACCCTTGGTGTGGGCCCTTCTAAGGACCCAGAGGGACCACAGTGACAACAGGTCTGCAAATCAAACAGGTGTGAGCACAATGCAGACAGTATTTGGGAACAGAAGACTGGATTTTGGTAATCAGAGAGAAAGAACAAGGAACCTTAATAGCAGAGACACACCTTCCCATACTGAGACAGGGGTCTCAAAAAACCTACACTGTGTCTCCTAGCTTGGATGACCTTGCCCATGAGAGTAGCCAACAGATGACTTCCTCTTTGCTGGGAGGTCTGTCCAGTCTTACCAAAAGGCCCAGTACATCTTATTTAATGTTCTTTGTTAGGCCGTGAATGTGGTCAGGTCTGTGCATCATCTGGTGGGTGGCATGGTGGCAGAGCTTCTTGAGATTTTAAAGATTGAAATCTTTAGATTGAAGCACTGTGTGATTTTAAAGATGAGCAAATACAGACACATCAGGGTGCAGGATGGTTCCCTAGCTGGGGTCCTGCTTGGATAGTGATTCTTGACCTTGTCACCAGTATGTCAAAAGCACTACTGGATGGTCAACCATAATACATCATGTGCAACTCATTGCCCCAAGGCCAAAAATGTGAACCTAATAATACTTGGCCAAGTCATGCATTTGCTCGTGGGTGAGCAGGGGTGTGGGTGAGCAGGGCTGTGGGTAAGCAGAGCTGTGGGTGAGCAGGTGTGTGGGCCACAGCTCCACAGTGGCCGGAAGGCTGGCCATCTGTGATTATCCAGCAGCATTCTAGGAGCTGTAACAGAGCTACAAAAGCCGATGTGCTCTGAGCTGGCGTGTTGTGGCACCATTCATTTCAGACGGATTGGACTTGGGTGGAGTGGGGTTTTCAACCCAAATGAGAGATCTGTGTTACAATGGGAATTGCTGAGCCAGGCCCAGCGAGGCCAGCAGAGGCACCGAACTCCCAGCACAAACAGCCCTCACCCTTTCACGGCACCCAGTTCTGGGAGGTGGCCCCTGCTCTCAACTGTAGAGCGTGGGAGAGTATTACACCTGGATCTGCCGTTTTGGCCCCTGACAAGTCACCTCTGGAAGAAATCCCTGCACCAATTCTCGCCACAGCAGTCAGGCCTCTGCAGGGCCGGGCTGGGGCCCCAAAGGCGCTGGCAACAGTACTGGACAGAAGAATTGAGACTTCTGAGTTTTATCGTTATTAGTGTGCTGGGGCTGGCAGAACAAAACACCACAGACCTGGGTGGTTTAAACAATAGAGATTTATTATCTCCTCGTTCTGGAGGCTGGGACTTCAAGATCAAGGTGCCAGCAGGGTTGGTTTCTCCTGAGGCCTCTCTCCTTGGCTTTCAGATTTCTCCCTGTCCTCTCATGGCCTTTCCTCCAAGCTTCTGCCTTTCCAGTGCCTCTTCCTCTTCTAGTGGGAGCACCGGTCATTTTGGCTGAGGGCCCCACCCATATGACCTCATCTAACCCAATTATCTCTTGAAAGGCTCTTTCTTCCAGTACAGTCACATTTGACTTTTGGGACACAAGTGGCTTATAATAACCACTCACTAACTGATTCCTTAATCTTTCTGAGGCTTCAGTTTGTCCCTCCAATAAAGGAGGTGAGAGAAGATCCCTTGAAAAACCAGTTGACTTTTCCTTGAGTGGCTGATGCAGGCCACAGACTTGGGGTTCGTCTTGTCTACCCAGTCACGGCAAGGCCAGCGGCACTCAGGAAAGCTGGTGTCAGCCTCCTGAAGGCCATGCCTCTTGCCTGTTCTGAGCCCTTCTGTCCGCTCTGAAGAGGGTCGTGTTTTCTGATGGGAATCCCAGCTAATAATGGCCATTGTTATGATGGTGTCTAATATCTCACAAGCAGTTCCAGGGCCAAGCCTTGCCGAGCACTTTCCATGAACTATTTAATTTTATTCACCTACTCAACAGCCCTGAGATGTAGATACAACATCATAGCTGCCTTTGGCTCATCTGTTTGCCAGCTGACCTCATTGACCCCTGCATCCTCTAAGTCCATAATAGGAATGAAGACGTGACCCAAGGGTCATGCTGTTCCTAAGGATTGGTCAGCTATTGTACTGTTGCTAAGGACCGTTGACCAGACAGCTTCAGTGCTGAGGATTCCTGGAGGTATGAATCCTCCAGGAATGCCTTATCCCAAAGGCATGAATTGTTAGAAGCTCAAAGGGCAGCAAGGTGAGGTATCTGGATTAAGGTCTGCAGTTTTAGAGCCCGTCCCCAGATTCCACATCTCCCTGCTTGAGCTCATATAAGTTGGTCTATGCCTTCACTTAGCGGGACTGATTATTTATTCATTCATTCCAGAAATAGTTGTGCCATACCCAACATTCCTGAGACGCTATCTTTGATATTGATCACACAGGAGAGCAGACAAATCCAGTACTGCCCTTTGGAGCTGATATTCTAACAGAGGAGACAGAGGTTAAACAAATTGTAGGGTTGTGTAATTACAATCGTCACAAATGCTAAGGAGACATATAGGTGTTCTGTGCTGGGCCCTTGTGGCTCTAAGGAAGATTGCAAGATGCCCTTCAGCAATAACCATCAGAGAACTTTGAAGACACAAAGATTTATTACTCACAAGACTGGAATCACACAGTGCGGGGCCACACAGTGAGGTCACAGGTGGAAAGAGATCACCCAGGGCTGGGGTTCCACTTTTATTGGGGTCAAGGGTGAGGACCTAGGATTCCACAAGCTCACTTTTTATTGCTGAATGTAAAATGTAAGAGAGAGAGAGAGAGAAAAAAAGTGGCCCAAATGTCAGTTATCAAAATCAACCAAAATCTCTGAAATAACCCTCAGGGAGCGGAGGGGGCCGGCTCCTCATCCAGTCGAATGGCTGGCAATGTGTTTACCTGAGATAGGCTCCTGGAAAGGGGATGCCTCATAACCAAAGCTTAAGTGAGGCACTTGCCTTATACAAAACAGAAAACCACAAGAGGGAGCTGTGGAATGTAGGGGCGCTGGCCCACAGCAGAGGAGACTGTCAGTGGGGATGAGACTGGAAGAGGAACAAGATCGGCCCCTTTATGTAGTGGGCTTCCATGTGAAATGTGTGACTTCCTGTGGGATGTGGTTGCGAGAATCGGGGAGCCATGGAAACGGAAAGGAGGACTGAGTGCCTGGAGGTCGGGGAGCAGGAATGAGGGAGACACACGGCAGGTGGCAGAGGGGAGCAGTGGGGCCCCTGGGAACCACCGAGCTGTTCTAAGCAGGGGAGTGGCAGGTCAGGTGCTTTTTAAAGATGCCTCTGGCTTGTAAGTAGAGAATGGGCTTCTCTGGACTCATGGGCTTGCTTCCATCTCATGGATACTGTGAATGACATTAACCGACAGGGTTCTCTCTTCCCTTTGAAGGGGATGAAGGCAAGAGTAGAGGCCAGAGACAGTGGTGCCTGGGAGAAGGGGAGGGAAGTGGGTGGGTTGGCGAGAGACGTGGGGGGTAAAGTCCACCAGGATGTGGGCGATCAGAGGAGGAGGATGTTGAGGATGGTTCCCAGATTTCTGACTTGTATGATAGAATCAAGCAGGCATGAGTAGACTGCAGCTTGCAGGCCATACCCATCCCTCTGCCTGTGTTTGTAAATACAGTGTTATTGGACACAGCCACGCCCAGTCACTGACTTGTCATCTGTGACCGCTTGCACACTACATGGCAGAGCTGAGTGCTTATGACAGAGGACACACGGCCCACAAAGCCTAAGATATTGACTGGCTGGCCTTTTATAGAGAGCTGGCTGCCCCGGGAGAGATGGCAGTGACTTTAGCTGACACAGGGAACAAGGGGGAGAGATAGCACATGTTTGGGTGGAGAGAGAAGAGGACAAGTTCCACTTAGGGGTCTCAGAGGTGCCAAGTGTAATTATCCAGTAGGCAGTTGGCTCTCTGGGTCTCTGGCAGAGAGCTCTGGGTGGAGAGGACGGCAGGGGCGCTGTGGGAGGGGATGAGGTCAGGAGCTGGGACCAGCCAAGCAGAGGGTGTGGTGAGACGAGGGCCTAGGAAGCAATCTGGGGAATTCTGATATTTTAGAGGCCCTGGACGCATCCTACCAAGGGTCTGATTCTAAGAGCCTCCACTGGGGACCTCATGGGGAGCAGAGGCAGATTCTGCTGTGATACTCAGTGGGGGTCTGTGGGCCTTCCGGCTATCTAGGCTTTAGGTCCCCCAGGTGCCAGGACCTGATGTGTAAGAGCAGGCTGGGCAGATGCCGGCACACAGTAGGCTCTCAGTGATGCTGTTGAATCTGACTGTGTCCCAGGCAGGACCTTGTGGCCAGGGAGAATTGGGACTGATGGCAATACGGTGGGACTTCTCCTCTCCATCCCCCTTTGGTGACCATGCCCACCTTTCTGTCCACAGCTGCGCCTGCACGGGGGCCGGAACCCCTACGAGGGCCGGGTGGAGGTGCTGGTGGAGAGGAACGGGTCCCTTGTATGGGGGACAGTGTGCGGCGATAGCTGGGGCATCGTGGAGGCCATGGTGGTCTGCAGGCAGCTGGGCCTGGGGTTCGCCAGCAACGCCTTCCAGGTGAGAAGTCCCGGGCCCGGGCCCCTCCATGTAGTCTGATCCTGCCCACCTCTATGCAGCCACCCTCCACCCACTATCTTCCGTGGACCTTCCCCAGCTGTCCAGGATGAGGAGAGCAAAGGTCTGGGGCCTGGGAGGCAGGAACTACATCCTGGCTTCGGTTCTGCCCCTCATGACTCTGAGTCCTTGGGTGGAGGTTACACACACACAGACACACACACACACACACACACACACACCCTCCATATTCCCTCGTTGCAGAATGAAGACCCGTTCACTCAGCTTTGTGCCCTGGGACTCATCCTAAGACAAGGGCTAATCTTGGGGTGTCCTAATGTGTCCTTTGCAGAGGGAAGCAGCTCAGTCCTACAGGGTAGTAGAGACCGCCCAGGCCAAGGCCCAACACGCCATACACGTTAGCTTGCTCCCTTGGAGGCCCCTCTGGCCAGAACATGTTCACAGCGGCAGGCCACGTTCTTGCATTCTCCCGCTGATCGGCTGCTATATTTCTAAGCCCATGCAGTACCTTTGTCACAGCAGCTGTGCCCTCCTCTCCCAGGTCCCTTCCTCAAAGGCAGCGACTCAGCTGAGGGCAGCCAAGCTTCTGCCCCCACTGAAAGGCGGAAGAGAAACAAGTAGCGTTTGGCTTCAAAAATTATTCCCTCTGCCCTGGCCAGTGTGGCTCAGTTGGTTGGGCATCATCCTGTGAACCGAAGGGTCATGGGTTCAATTCCCAGTCAGAGCACAAGCCTGTGTTGTGGGTTTGGTGTCAGGTCAAAGCACACAATGGAGGCAACTGATCAATATTTCTCTCCCCTCTCTCTCTCCCTGCCCCTCTCTCTGGAATTGGTGGGTATGTCCTCAGGTGAGGATAAAACAATTATTCCCTCTGGCCCCTGGACTGTGGGGAAACAGACACTTGTGGAGTAGAACAGGATCAGAAAGAGGCAGAGGCTGGGGGGTGGAGGGAAGGAAGAGACAGAAGGCTCAGAACCTACTCCCCACTGTGCTCCCAACGGCCCACGGCACAACGACCTGAGGCAAAGCAGCCACCTTTCTAGGCCTCAGTTCCCTCCCTGTGGCATGGACTGAATCCCAGGTCCACAGGATCTGGGCTCTAAACACCTTCCTCAGCTTCTCACAGAGCAAGAAAATGGCTGGAGCACCTCACCCCCACCCCGACCCTGGGCCTTGCTTTGCTAACCCTGCCTCCAGCTCCTGTGCCCAGTTGGCCCTGCTTGGGAAGGAAGTTTCTAAGAGTGAGACCTGGAGGGACCCCAGCAGTGTTGCTGGGCCTCAGTGCCTGCCTGGTGCAGGGTAAGCAGTGCATCACGAGCAGATGCTGGCACTGCTGCCCAAGCCCTCGGGGAGCCAGCCACCCGGGTCACACAGTGTCCCTGCCAATACTGCTTATGACAAGCCAGGGTCCTCTCCATTTCTCTCCGGAGAGCAGAAAAATAGTGCTCACTACAGCATATTGGCTGCCTTGTCAGCCCACTCCTAGGGCATCTGGGTCTCAGCCGGGACTGTGCGATGGGCCCACGGCTGATATCTGTCGCTGAGGACAAGGCCTGTCCCTTCTCTAGGCCCCTGTGTTCTGCCTAGAGGTGAGGGATGTATAGTCAGATTCTCTAGGGAAACAACCAGTGGGATGTATGGATATCAAGTTAATTACTACCATATGTGAATAAATTTCACCTCTTATGCCAATTCTGATCACTTACTAGTGTCTTCCTGGAGCACTGTGTAGAGAAGGATTCTGAGGTTACATTCAGGCTCAGAGGAGAAGTGCTGAGTTAGATTAGTAATGTCTGCCCTGGTCTCAGGATGAGTCAGTGTCAGTGTGGGCTGCAGGTGCCTGCCATTTCTGACCACAGCACTGAACAGCTGTTTGACCAAAGCAACCGTAGCGATGCTCCGTAGAGCAGCGGGGTGGAGGCGGGGGGCAACAGAACCCCATTCTCAGTCAGAAGACCTGGATTCTCACTTGCTCTGCCACTAACAAACTGTACAACTTGGGTAAACGATTCTCTGTGCCTCAGCCATCTCCATCTGCAAAATGGAATCATAAGACTTTGAGACTTTTGTGGAGCTGAACATTGGTAGAATATGAGAAAGTGACCACTCAAGGTGACATGCTGACCATTTCTTTTGTCGATTCTCCAGGAGACCTGGTATTGGCATGAAAACAGCAATGCCAACAAAGTGGTCATGAGCGGAGTGAAGTGCTCAGGAACGGAGCTGTCCCTGGCACACTGTCGCCACGACGAGGATGTGGCCTGCCCCCAGGGCAGAATGCAATATGGGGCTGGAGTCGCCTGCTCAGAAAGTGAGAGTCCCAGGGGGTCGTGTCCACCCTCCCCACCAGGCTCCAGGAAGGGACCAGAGCCCCCTGGTTGTTCCTTCCTTGCTAGGCCCTGAGGCCTCTGCCGTGAGCCGAGCAAAGGGGGAGAGTAGAGGTTAATTCTCGTTAAGTGAGAAGTTGGGTGCAAACGGCAAAAGGGATTCCCCCAACCCCAGCCACGGAGCCATGCCTGATGGTGGCTGGGGTGGGGGTGGGGGTGGAAGAAAGCAGGGGAGCAACCGGGTGTCTGGGGGTCTTGGGTTCAAATCCCAAATTTGCTGTAGACTACTTAAGCGTTCTTGGGCAGGTTAGTGGCTGAGAACTCCTGTTCTTGGCAGTGAACGGTGAGAACACTTCCTCAGTGGACGGTTCCAAGGTGAGTGAGCCATGCAGCTCGTGTGGGCGCCCGGTGCACGCCAGCCTGCTTTCTCCCTGCCGCTCTCCTCTGCAGACGGTTTTCTGTTTCAGGTCCTCGAGGTGATTTAGCTTCCTGGTAACCCCCAGGCACTCTAGAGAGACTGAAAATACAGAAAGGGGGGCCTCACCAGGGCTCAGAATGGCCCAGCTGGTGAAGTTTCCCTCCTGGGCTGCTGCGAGAGGACCAGAGGATGGCCTGCGGGCTTGCTGCTCTCCTGACCCCCAAGCTCCAGGCAGCCCTCCCACCCCCACCCCTGGCCGTACAAAACCACTTGCTCATGCATCAGGGAGGCAGGAGAGGCCCAGGGTTTGGCCCAGGACCCTGAGACCAGACCCTGCCAGCCACTTACTGCTGATCTCAGCAAAGCTAGTTAACCACTGTGATCTGCAGCTATCGTCATTTCTAGAAACTGAACATTCAAGTGTAACAATGACTATATGCAGGTGCTCAGTAAACAACGGTGCCGTTTACCATCATGGAGAACTAGGGAGAAGGTGAAACCTGGAGCTCAGCCAGGTCGATTCCCCCATCAGCCCCTTCTGGACTCGTACAGCATCTCCTACCCCGTGAGGCAGGACTCCGGATGCCAGCGCTGGCTGCTGGGGCAGACACCCCAAGCTACTGCGTCCTGTCTGAGAGGAGGGACAGGTTCCTCATCTTTACCAGCCCCCCCAGGGGAGATACACCCAGGCACAGAGAACCAGTCTCACTGCTCTCAGGGGCCTTTTCTTGGCTTATTAATTCATTATACTTGTAGTAGACCATTTTTTCCAAAAGGGTATTTAGATGACATAAACCTAAATAAAATTCAAGGTAGCATAAAATAAAAGCAGGTGAAAAGAAAGTAGGTATAGGCAAAAAGTTAGTGGCTTCAAATGAATCCAAGAGAGGTGAATTAAAAATATGTACTATAGAGTCTCATACAGTTACTACCGACAGGTTGTAAATTTCACAATGAGTTTCCCAGCAGCCAAAGGAAAGAGGAAAACTGTTCATTAATATAATTCACAGTATCCATGAGATAAAAGCAAACCCATGAGTCAAGAGAAGCTTGAAGGAAATTTACTATGAGGACTATGAGTTGCTGGATAAGCAATGCCCTGCACAGATTCCTCACGGCAGGCCAGAAATGAGCTTCAAGGGGCCATTGCCCAGAGAAACCCTTGTTTTAGGCTGATGGTGGCACTTGGAGTCTGCAGGGGGCAGTAGCCATTTGGGCCAGAAACACTGATGTGACTTAATGCTTTATTCAGAGAAATAAAGTCTACTCTTTAGGCATCCCCTTGTAATTAATTACCTTTTCTGAACCAGCCATTTCAGTCGCCCCAAATCTGCAAGTTCTCCCCCATCTCTCTCTCCCTCATTACTCCCATATTCACTCCATCTTGATTTCTGCCTTTCTGTGGTCTTTCAGCTCCTTCCACCGCCCTCCACTCCACTGTCTCCGCCTGTGTTCCGTGCCCGGGTCCCATGCTGCCTCACCGCAGGCTCCTCACTGGGTCCCCAGTGACACGTGCCCCCAGCTCCCTCCCCTTCCTGAGCCAGAGCCAGCGCCTGCCTCCCACGCGGGCTCCCTTCTGTTCAAGCCCTGCCCGGGCTCTCCCACAGCACTCAGTGACCCAGCTCACGCACCCAAACTCATTCCTGGCGGCCTTCTACCCCCTACCCTCCTACTGTCCTGACCACACGCCTTGCCCCCTTCACACCTCAGGGACCTGCCCTGTGCTACTCGTTTTGCCTGAAATGCTCTCTCTACCCCCATTCCTCTAATCTCTGCTCATCCTCCGGGGAAGAGCTAGAAGGTGACTGCCTCCAAGGGAGTTTTCCCTGACTTCCCCAGACTGAGTGCCCTTGTTATAATCCCCAACACATCCCCTATTTCTCCTTCAAGCTCTGGCCACAGTTGTGACCACTTAACACTGCTTCTGTCCGTCTCTCCTGCGAGAGCGTGAGGTCTGCCTTGTTTAGCAGTTCCATCGTAACGCTTGGCAAGTGGGTGCATGACGGCGTGCCTCTGGTGGGCTTCTGGTGGATTTCCCGGATCTTAAGGAGGTCAGGGCTCCATCCCACGGCAGATGCTAAGAGCACAGCCCCGGGGGCCAGCCAAGCGCAGACCCACTATGTTAAGTTTCTGATCTGGAGGCAGAGCTGGCCTCCTCTCAGGAAGAGGTAAGCGGAGGGCTGTCCACGGAGGGCTGACTAGTGTACAGACAATGAATAAGAGACTCTCAGCCCCTCTCTTAAAGTGCCCAGAATACCCGGCACACCTCCTGTGTGTGTCCTCCAAGAGGAAGGAGTTCCCGGCCCATGGGAGCCCCCAGTTCCTGTCTTCACTCCCAGCCCCACATCCACCTGTGTGCCCTTTCACATGCTCTTCTGAAACTTATAAGCAACTTGTCAGAAAATAAAGGTAGATGGACCTTGTAAATAATTTGTATATAATATTTTTTTGTGAAACGGCACATACTAGAAATGTTCAATGGAATCTCCCTTATAAAGGGAAACTTACAGTTAGTCTTTTTGTAAAGGAGTGAATCCTAATACAATTTTACAGTAAATATAGATTGTAGCCATCAGTAATTTTTTAAACACCTGCTATATGCAACATGCTAATTGAGTAAATCCATCCCATCTAAAAGATGCCCTTTTAAAACTAAGCCCTAGAGCAAGTGTGAGTGGAAACCAGAAGAACCTGTTGGGTAATTCGCAATATAACGAGCATCAGAGCCCGGGAAATATGCAGCTCTTCCTCTCAGCAATTTTACTGAAAGAAATATATTCCAAAGAAATCATTCAAGTTATATACACAGACTTACTACAGGGTGTTTACTGCAGCTTTATCTTCAACTGGGAAAAATTCCAAGCAACCAATATATCTAAAAAATATGGGGTAGGGTTGTGAATTAAATATTATGTAGCGATGTAATGAATGTTGTAATGGATATTTATTAACAAGGAAATACGTCAAGATATATTTGAAAGGGAAACAATAAACAGACTACAAATCTACATACAGCATCACCCACATTGAAAAATAGATCTGTATTGCTTCCAGAAGAGTCAGTCCAAGGAATTAAGAGGATTCTCTTTCTGGGTGGAGAGAAGATTGTTATTATTTGCCATTGTCCTTGTTATTGTTTGGTTTTTGTTATGGAAATCTCAAGCCGCTGGAATGTAGTGAAGATGATAGAGTGAATCCTCATGTACCCACCACCCGGATCACACCATTTCCAGGGGACACGCAGAGAAGGGGGAGACGAATTTGGGGTGGCGTCGCTGAAGGAAGGTGGCCTTGAGAGGGAGATCATGAGCCAATTCCAGAAGGCAATGCCAAGCAGGGACAGGGGGTGGTGGCAGGGAAGGTTGCCCCAGTTCAGGGATCAGAAGTCAAGGTCTTGGGCAGGCGTGAGGGGCCTCGAGTCTGGCCTGAGCACCATGCCGCCCTCCACAGCCGCCCCCGACCTGGTCCTCAGTGCGGAGATCGTGCAGCAGACCACCTACCTGGAGGACCGGCCCATGTTCATGCTCCAGTGCGCCATGGAGGAGAGCTGCCTCTCGGCCTCGGCTGCCCAGACCGACCCCAGGACAGGCTACCGGCGGCTGCTGCGCTTTTCCTCCCAGATCCACAACAACGGCCAGTCCGACTTCCGGCCCAAGAATGGCCGCCACGCATGGATCTGGCATGACTGCCACAGGTAAGGCCTCCCTTCATCGTCCCCAAGCTGTCCCAGCCCAATGTCCTGCAGGGCCCAATGTCCTGATGGGACTGAGAATCACAGGGTCACTTACAGAGGCCCCACGGTCCAGGGGCAGGGTTTCCCTGAGCTGGAGGGAGCCTGTGAGCTGGCCCGCCCTTTTCCGCTGCAGCTGCCCTGGCCCCTCTCCCTCCCCTGAGCCTAGGCTCTGTCCTGCCCCACATGCCTCTCACGTTAGGGAACAAACTTTGTCTGTGGTTTCCAAGTGTGACCACAGGAAATTTGTGCTCTGCAGGGAGCTTGGAAGTTCTGCAGTGATTGGACTCTGAGGTCATTTAAAAATATACTTTAAATACCAGGATATATTTAAAATATTTCTAGGAAGACAGTGGGTTTGGGGACGAGCGTTCTAGCTCCAAGAGTCATGAGGCCTGGTCTCTCGAGCGCATTGTGCCTCTAAGCAGCTGTGTGACGCCAGGCAGCTGGGCCACATCACGCAGGACCTCTCATGTCCCTTCCAGGCCTCAGTTTGTGGGTCCGATCCCAGAGTTATAAATCCTGGGCAGGAACAGAGTGAAATCCCAGAGCCAGCCCCAGCTGGAGCCAACAGAAGCCACCCCCTTCATCTCCAGCCTTCCCATTTGTTCTTTGCCTGGATTCCTACTCTAATCCAGAACGTGTGGCCCCTGCTTCTTCGCCTTCTCCTGCCCAGACCTGAGCCAGAAACAGAAGCAAGTGCACTCTTGCAAGGGATCGGAGGAGGCCCCTGCCATTTGACATGGTGGCCGCAGCGCCCCCAGGGTCCACGGAGCTGGCCCAGTGGGTGCCCATCCCTGTGCTCAGACTCCCAGCTGCACACCAGAGCTTTTGCACTTGGTCCAGCTTCTCAAAGCGAAGCCATGGGCTAATGCACCTGCTGTCAGCCGGCACCCCAGGGCCCGGGGCTGACTTCACGTTAGAATTGGTGATTTAACAGGGTCAGCAGGTACTTGTAACCATCATAGTCTGAGACACCCACGTCTAGCTCATCTCTTGGCCTCCCCCCAGCTCAAAAATTCAGGGGTCACTGTTAGGGGCATAAGAACGAACATTTCTTGACGTCCTCTGAGTGACAGGCACGGGACACCCTCACTTTTGCGGGTGAGGAAACGGAGGCTTGGTGTCTGGTGGGGAAGCCGACTCAGGCCTGTCTGAGCCCCCAGTGTGCGCTCTTTCTGCTGCCTCCACTGACCCCCCATCACAAACCTCTCCGGCTGCCTTATCACAGGACAGCTGATGGCCTCGACACATTTGACTCAGTTTGGGGGTACACTTGTTCAACTCGTTTCAAAAGACAGGACTGTGGTAGAACTTAAGGGTGCTGAGTTTCCTTTATAATACTCACTGGGTGTTCTGAAAGTCCTCGTTAGCCAAAAAATTTTTGCTCTTTGTGCAGAAGCATGTCGGTTTTCTGCAGGGTGGAAGTCGGGGATAAAAGGGAAGTCGTGACCACATTGGTGCCTGGCTTCCTTGAGTGGCACGTGGCTGCCTGGGCTCTTGGGGGCTGCCGCCGTCAGAGCGTCTATAAGGAGAAGGTAATTGCGTCTCTGCCCCACACTAGACGGTCCACCCAGACATTACTTGGCAGGAGTTTCTGTGTGACATACACTTGCTCTGCCACAAATGGGCTGTCCTCTGAGGATACACATGGTGACATTGGGGAAGCTTCTTCTGATTGCCCACCTCTGCTTTTCCTGTGGCCTATTTCATTTCTTGACTTACAGATGTTCCAGTAAATGGTGTGGGAGGGCTGTGTGGGAAGGAGTATGTGGCTGAGCATGTGTCCCTTCAGACCTCCCCTGCTGGTCTGTAACTGAGGACCTGTGACCCTAGCGTCCCAGGGAGCATGAAAGCCCCCACCCCCAGCCTCCAGAGCCCTGGGGACTTCTCGGGGCTCTGTGGGAGGACCTTCCAACAGGATGCCTGGCCCCAAAACTCTATTGGGTATCTTTGGGAGTCTGATGAAAGCTGGCCCTTCCTCCACTCAAAAAAAAATTTTTTTTCTGGGATATTTAACATCCTGATTCAGCAGATTCTGAGAATTCTGGCTCAGATTAGTGCAAATGAGGAAAACTATCCCCCTCCCAGTGTAATTGGTGCTACAATGAGAAACAGAGCTATGTTCTTTGAAAGCCCCAAAATGACAGAGATTGACCACCTCAGCCGTCTCCTCGCCACGCAGGCGAGGACAGGCTCTGCGTCATTCTCTCTCATATTTGCTATCCTTGGTGGATGATCTGGATGAGGTCCCCCTCCTGCTTCTTGTGTCCCTGGGGAGAGGTGCCAAACCTGGCCAGAGAAAGGCAAGAGGCTTGAGGGTACACCAGACTCTCAGGTACACCAGAGGTGTGTACCTGGCGTATCACGCCCCAGCTTTGACGGGCCAGATGAAGCCGGGCACAGACGCACATCAGCACACAGAGCAGTGTCACAGGGCTGGTCCGCCCACCTTGCAGCCTCTGGGAGAGCGGCTGGGAGCTGGAGCAGCAGGGAGGCGGACGTCCATCCAGCCCAGTGCCAGCCCTCCAAGTCAGGGAGGGCTTCGCTACAAAGGGGAGGCTTTTGTTCACTTTGCCCTGCCTCCCCACTGTGCAGAGCAGTCCCCGTTTTGGGTGGAAGCCCCAGAAATGTGATGTGGCCTCTGTGAGCCAAGTGCAGGCCCTTGTCACACATGTGGGCCTTTGTTCCAGCTGGGGCACTGCCCAGCACCTCGGGGAGGCAGGATGGAGTGAGCAGAAGGGTTCCTGCCCATGTGGCAGCGCCTCCTGAGCCTGGGGCATGCCCTGCCACGGGGACCGGAGTACTGTCCCACCAGAGCTGAGCGCTGGCCGGGACCTCCATTCCAGGGGCACAGGGGGCAGGCGTGAGAAAGACAGCAAGTGAAACGTCTCCTCTACAATGTGCACTGATTTCTCTGACTGGAAGTTCTGTTTGGGTCCCAGTGACCTAGGCTAGCAAAAAATATGCTCAAGCCTCTTGCCTTTCCCTGGTCTGGTTTTGTCTGTCATGGAGTATGCATCCCTCACCGTCTTCCTCCACAAGTACCGTGTCCTCGCGTGTGGGGCTCTGGAATCTTTCGGACAAAGTCCTTCCCTTGTCCAGATCACAATGAATGACCTCCTTTGAGTGTCAGTCTCCTCAGTGCTCTGGCGATTCTCCCCCAGTGAAGCAGTCCTATCTCTGCCCCATGGGTCAGTCCCCCTCCTAAACTTCCAAAGGTCCAGACACCGCATCCTGCAGAGAGGAGGTGCACCCTCGTCACCAGGACATGTGTCCCACCTTCTCTGGGGTGGAGGGGTGGAGTGGTGCGGGGGAAGGGGTGGCAGTGTGCCCCTGGGCTCTGCGGCCAGCCGGCTGGGAGGGAGACGTGGCTGGTGGGTGATGCCATACACACTGGAGAGGGAAGCAGGGAAACCCCAGGACTGCCGCTAGCGAGAACAGGGAGGCTCCAACCAGCCGTTTCACTCCCGGTGTTCGCAGGGGAAAACTGAGGTGCTGCAGCAACTCTTAAATCAAGTTTGCAGGTAGCAGGGGGAGCGGGAGGAGGTCAGCCCCACAGCAGTTTGTCTGTGGCCTCCGTCTGCGTTGTGTTTGGACAAGGAAACATAAACCTATTTCTCTTCAGTCTCTCCAGCTGGTAAACATGGTAGCAGAAGCTGTTCTCTGAAGGATGCAGACATGGTTTAGGCAATGAGTCAGACCTCATGCCTCATCTTGCTCCTTCCAGAAACCAGGAGACTCTTTCAATATCATCGCTTCAGCTGCCACAAAACGCGTCCTTGTGAATGTTCTCAGCGGGCCCCCGGCTCAGCATTATTTTACCCAGAAACCTGAGTGAGCTGGAAAGAGCCCAGTGTAGGAGCTTACGTCATTATTTTTAGCCAAGGCAAACATGGGAGGAAGAGGAAAAGAACTTCTAATTTCCTCTCTGAAAACCTACCTTTTTCATTCATTTCCCTCTTCCCTCCGTCCTGCTGCGTATGCCAGCAGAGGGAGCCTGAGGCAACCACGGGAGGCCTGGGGAGTGAGGAAGCTACCCTGGGCCTGGGGATAATCGTAGGAGTGGTAGTGGTGGCAGTAGTAATGAAAACACTCCTCCTGTTACTACAGGGAGGGTTAGTAATAAGGAGAGAGCTGACAGGTACTGCGGACCCCTCTGTAACAAGCCCTGTTGTAGGTATTTCTGCAGTTTCTCCTACTGCATCATTCCCTCTTCCCTGAGGTGACAACTCAGGTCACACATAAACAAAACAAGTGGTTCTGCTCCCCTGCCAAGGTACCCTGCCTTCCGTTTTCCCCATTTTCCACATGCCCTGTAACGAGAGAGACAGGTGTGATCTGTAGGTGCGGACTTGTGATGGACTTGTTGCAGCTGAGGACGGCCTGCCAGGCCAGCGCCACGGCAGCCCCACAGCAGCCAGGTGCCCCTGTGTATTCTGAGCCCAATGTATCACTTCCCCAGGATCTGCTGGGTTCTCTCCGCCCCCACCCCACCCAGTGAAGAGACTACGGTCATGTAAAAAGTGCACAGTCGATCAGCTGGGTTGCACAAGTGCTCCGCCGCTTCACCCCTTCCCGCAGGCTTCCAGAGCTGTCCTCCCTGCCTTTCCCATCTGCTCTGTGCAAGGACCACAGACTTCCTGTTGCTCACGCTGGCTGTGGCTGACACCCCCGCCCCGTCTCCCCATCCCGGCCTCCTGCCTGCCTGTCCTTGGGTCACACCTGGTGCCAGCTCTTCGGACTCTCCCCCTACTCCACAGACACTCCCTGTTCCCTCCTCTTTCCCTCTCTACGACATTCCCACTTTAAAAAGTTTCCAAAGACGTCGGTGAGCGGGCTGTGAGAGCCATTGCAGCAGCAGGAGAGTCAGTGGAAGCACTCAGTACAGATATCGGTGACTTACGGAGTGGACTGTGTGCCAGGCCCTGTGCCCATCCTGCAGCCCCCCCGCCACCCGCCTTCCGCATGGCGTTGTTCCCATGTAGCCAACCGGGGAGCTGAGGCTGAGGAAGGCGGGCCACTGCCCCACTCTGGAGCCCACATAAGCACCGTGGTACCACCGTGGTACCATTCGTCACCCCCTCCTCTCCCACTGGCCGCCCCTTTGGACTGCGTGACTCAAGGTGTCCCCAGAAGCCAGTTGCCATCCAGGCAGTGGCTTGCAGGCGGCAGCTGCTGCCCACACTGACCCCTGGCCCTGCCTCTCACCCCAGGCACTACCACAGCATGGAAGTGTTCACCTACTATGATCTCCTGAACCTCAATGGCACCAAGGTGGCAGAGGGCCACAAGGCCAGCTTCTGCTTGGAGGACACCGAATGTGAAGGAGGTATCTTTGTGGGAGTGCTGGGGGGCTCCAGGGGGACTCAGATGCTCTAACGGCAGTGCCCACCCAGCCCAGAGCCCAGGTCTGATGCTGGATGCTGCCACTGCTGACTCTCCAACGTGACCTTTTTCTGTGGGAGTTTTCCATGGCCACACTCGGGGCTGGGGGAGTGGGCAAGGCCTGGATCCCCCAAGAGTTATGTTGACGGGGACCAGTGGGGCCACACAGTCTCCCTGGTAAGGCCCAAACCCTTGGAGCAGACACAGCCTCCCTCTCTGGCTGCCACAGCCATTCTTATATCCCAAGGCCAAGTGCCCTTGCCCCCTCAGGCTCTTACCCTTCAAGTTCAAGCTCAAGCAGCCCCTCTGCAGTTCCCAGACTCTCTCTGCTCCCCCAGGCAGAGGCAGCACTCTGCTCACAGTGCCCCACCTGCTCTGTGATCACCTGTGGGCACACCTGCCATCCTCACAAGACAGGTCCCTCAAGGGAAGACAGGGTTTTTCTCAGTATGCCCAGTGCTTAGAGTAGTGCTCAACACTGCTTATAGTGGCAGCCTCTCAGTAAATGTGACGGCCACTGTCTGCCATAAAACCGCATAGCAAATAGGTTTTGAGCACCTACTGCCTGCGATACAGGTGGCTGGCCTGGTCAGGTCAGGCCGAAAACCAGACCCAAGCCCAGATCCAAGTGTTGATTGTCCAGAGAGAGACAAGATAAGCCCACATGAAGCCCTCGGATAAGCATGTGTTTCATTCTCAGGCTAATGATTCCTCAGAAGGGCCAGGTAGGCCAGAGTGGTCAAGGAAGGCTTCATGGAGGAGGGGACCGTGGCTGGGTCTGAAAGGAGGGCTGGGATGTGGGTAGAAAATCCAGCCAGGGAGAGAGGATCAGACACCACAAAACACAGTAGCTGCTGAGCCCTCATCAACCCAAGGGTGGGGTGCTTGGGGAAGGAAGAGAGACACTGAGGGTGGGTCTGGGGATGTCCCCACCAGTAGGGCTGGTCCCCACCAGTAGGGCTGTTTGGGGTCCTTTGTGGAAGCATGGCACAGAGGGAAGAAGCACCATGTGTGCATGGTGACTGGGACTCCTTCTGCATCTGCCTGCAGACGTCCAGAAGAATTACGAGTGTGCCAACTTCGGCGAGCAAGGCATCACCATGGGCTGCTGGGACGTGTACCGCCACGACATCGACTGCCAGTGGGTGGACATCACCGATGTGCCTCCGGGAGAATACCTGTTCCAGGTGAGGGGTGTGGGGAGGAGTTCCAGGCCCCTGCTGATGGGAGGAGGGGTCTCTTTCCCAGCGACGGGGAGGCAGCTCCCTTTCTGTGGGTGCCCAAGCCCAGGACATGTGCGTGGAGGCCAGGTTGTCTGAAGGGTCCTGCCCCAGAGGCCCGTGCAGTCGCTCAGGCAGCCTGAATCTGTGAGGCACGCAGGCTGGGGCTGGGGCAGGTGGACTGCAGACCTCCTAAGTCAGTGGCACTCAATGCACTTAAGCTCTGGTGCTCTCAGATCAAAGGTATCTGTGGCCAGATTTGTCCTCAGGCCAGGAATTGGTCCCACAAACTCAAAGGCCACCTGCACCTTTTGCTTCCTTCAGAGCTATGCCCTCACCACCCCCACCGGGATAGCTCCCGCCACCCTCGCCCTGCCTTGGCCTGTGCCATCGAGGTTAAAAGCAGTCTCAGAAAAGGCAGTTGCTCACACGTGGCCATGCCTTGCCTCTCCCCAAAATGTTCGCCTCATAAAAAAGGGTCTGCAGAGGGGTCAGTTCTCAATGCTGAGAACTCTCAATGCTTGGATCAATAGTGATAGAATGTCTGGCACCAGAGTCCGCCTGTCCAGTGACAGTGTGGGGCACTGGCCGGGGCCTCCACACACCGTGTCTGGGTGGAAGGCCAGCCCTGGGAGGAACCAGGGAGCCTCGGCCTCCCACCATCCTGCAAGTGGTCCCTGCCTGGTGGGGAAGACAGGGGCGCACAGGTGCACATGCACCTGCAGAGGTTTCCTCGCACCTTTTCCTTTTTCTCACATCCCCACCCATCTTGCTTTCCAGCCTGCCCCATGGGTGGCAAAGTAAGGGACCAGAAATGTGTCATTGTGTCTTGAAAGGCTTTCCAAGGGGCCCTTCAGCCAGCCCAGGGCCTGGCCCACGGTCCCAACACTATAGACAGCCCTGGGATGAGCCGACACCTGCGGAGAAGTGACCACAGAAGGGCTTTAAAAGTTTCCCTGGGCAATTTCAGAGGCTAGAAATCAGACAGCCAAGCACTTTTCCACCCACAAGGGCAAAACCGCAGACTTGGAGAGGCCCAACCAAAGAGGAGAGTGCTCTGCATTTTAAAGAATGAATATCAGTGTCGCCATGCACGTACACAGTGGAGGGTGGCTTGCATTTGAGGCTGCCAGTCACTTGGCTGGGCGAATGTTTGTCATTGTGTATTGTGTCCTGACAAACGCCACCTACAGAGTGACTGTAGCACATTGAGAACTGCTGGCAGGCCAGGCCCTGGGGAGCCCTGCTCCAGTGCTGTCTCATGTCTCCAGTGGTGGCCAAGCAAACCCAGGTCACACCACACATGAACTCATTATGGGCAAGTGAATGCCTCTGATTAATGAAAAAGAAAATTTCCCTCAGGGTAGACACAGAGCTGTAGTTGGGTGGGAGCCCCAGCCCTCTGCATTCTCACATGGACCCCCCCGTGCAGACATCAGTAACGCTACACCTGGCCAGGGAAGCTAGGCCAGGACCACATGGCTGCAGGCAGAGGGCCCTGTGGGCCAAGGCCCAGAGGCCAGAGCCACAAACCATAGGTCCTTGTGAGATTTAGAATCATAGAGTAAAAGTCAGATGGATAGTGGAAACCACACCTCTCAGCCCCCATCCCCAGCCCCAAGCTGGTAAAGCTGGCCCTGGTGGCCCCTGAGAGGAGCCCAAGCTACACCTGCTCCCTAGGGGTGCAGCTGTGGGGGCGTGGGGCAGGGAGCAACACAGGCCTCAGTGCACGGGGTCGTTTGCACGTTGCTCTGAGCTGTGCACAGGCTGGGGGCAGGGGACAAGGAACAGCAAAGGCTATTGGGTAGAAAAGAGATAAAAGAAATGGAAGGCCATCCCGAAGTGGGACAGTTACCAGCCTTAGCAGAAGAGACACAGTCGAAGTGGGACACAGCCTAGGGCAGATGTGGCTAGCAGAAGCAGACTCTGTCCCGGAAGGTGGCACCAGGCTGCGGCTGTGCCAGCTCTGCCTCCCCCAGCATCTCTGGGAGCCCAGCCAGCCCGCCAAAGGGTCATGCCTAAGCCCTCCTGGGGTCTTTGGGGACGAGACCTAGAACCTTACCTGGCAGGGCATTGCTCCCGTGCCCCACAGGCCCAAGGCAGTATGGTCCCCTCACACCCTGCCACACCCTCAAGGAAAAATCTGACACCCGTCCCCCATACTTGCCCACATGAACTCTGCAGATTCTGTCTCTTCCCCTTCCCCTTCCCTTTTGCCTTTCTGCTGGGTTCCTCACCTCCAATTTCCCTTTTCTGTCCACCCACAGAAACCTTCTCTCAATGATGACCCTTCCTAGTCCTGCTCTTTTGGGCCCCAACCCTTTAGCTGGGGCATTCAGAAGAAGGGGTGCAAGGGGGTGCAGTTTCCAGCAGAGCCCAGGCCCTTGGACTGGTGGGGTAGGGAGGGTTCAGGGGAAGCCCAGAGCAACACCAAGCCCCAGACAGCAGGAGGGACTGTTCCAAGTCACCCCACCAGGAACAGCGTCCAGGCTCCACCACTCAGGGCAGCCCTTCCCCCACTTCCCACAGTGCCCGTCCTTGTCCCCACCCTTTCCTTTCATGTCCTGCTCCCCAGCTCCCTTCCGTTCCTCCCACAGTCTGTCCTGTGTGCCTCCCCCACCCCCAGGCCCCGACTCCTGCCTCTCTACCAACTGCTGGCCTCCCAGGGCAGCCAGGAGAGGAGAGTCCTTCCTGAAGGCGGCCTCTGGTGGAGGTTGGGTGAATTCCACTGAGACAAACAGCAGTGCATGGATGCCTCGCTCCTCCGCCTCCTGGACCTCAGCTCTGGCCAGTCCTGTCCCTGCTTGCCTTGGAGCACTGGAGGCAGGACTAGGCCCGGCTGGGCCCTGGGCCTGGGGTGGCGGTTGGCAGAGGCACAATTCTGCAGCCAGTCTGACCTGACTCTCCCCCAGGTTGTCATTAACCCCAACTACGAGGTTGCGGAGTCTGACTACACCAACAACATCATGAAGTGCAGGACCCGCTATGATGGCCACCGCATCTGGATGTACAACTGCCACATAGGTAAGCCCCCCAGGCAAGCACAGCAGCCAGGGTGGACCCCAGGCCTGCCAGGGCTCCCTGCAGCACACCATGCAGGAGACAGGCAAGGGCCTCCCTCCTTTCTCAAAGGGCCAGAGCAGCTTCCTAGTCTGGGCCCAGAGCTCGGGGAACACAGCCAGGCTCACATGCCCATGCACAGGGAGGATGCTGCAGATACGCAGACCTAGGAGCAGATTGGGCTTTTGCAGCCAGCTCTGGCCAAGGTGGGGGGGGACAAAACCAGTGGCCCAGCACACACACCAAAGCTATTTAAAGGTGGGAGCTGAGGCCACCACCTCATCATGCACGTGGCCTCAAAACTGTGGGCGTCAGCCATTTGCAGCTCAGTGTATCATTTTTCCTCTGTTGAGAACTAGAGGCTGGTGAGCCAATGTGGCTTCTGATCACCAGAAAAGAAACTTTTCTTTGCACTGTGCAGCTGGGGGCACAAAAGGGAAGCAGAGCTTTTCCTTCTGTGGGAAAAGCGATGGCCCTCACTCTTGGTGACTATTCACTGCTCCGCTCAACTGGCAGAGTGCCTGACCTGTGCCCAGCCCCAGGGGCTGCCCCAGTGACCTCACAAACAGGTGGCCCCAGCAGACCACCTGCTGAGGGTGGTGGCTCCAGGACTCTGAGGCCAACTGTCACAGCCAGGGTGGGGCCTGAGCCTCTGGTTGCTAAACTCTGTCTCCCTGATGCCTGTCCCTCAGGTGGTTCCTTCAGTGACGAGACAGAGAAGAAGTTTGAACACTTCAGTGGACTTCTAAATAACCAGCTGTCCACGCGGTAGGGCTGCCTCTGTGTCGCCTCCCACCTCTGGGCCACAGCACATCTTTCCCAGCTGCAGTCTGACCGACGGACCACCACGCTCCGACTCACCCAGGCCAGCCCCTGCTCCGCCCGGATACTCTGCGGCCACGGCCAAACTCAGGGGGAGGGGTGTTCCCGACATTTGCAGGGGCTGCTGTCCAGAGTGAGGCTTGTCCCCAAGCCCGTGGGAGAAGTGCCACCAGCCATCTCGTCCAGGACCCCAGGTTGTCATCAACTTGTCCCATCCGAACCACAGTCCCCCAAGTCTGACACCACACTGCTCACACTGCACCACTGATAATACGAGGCCATTTTCTCCTCAGGTGCCTTGTTGGCGATCCAGTTTATCAACCTGAGGGGGGCTGAATCCCACTTCCCCTCTCTTAGGTCATTTCCAGCCAACTTGAAAGCCTAGAATGCTCTTCAGGAAACAAACCACCTCTACCCACCTCTATTCTATTCACGAATAGAAATAACGCTGCCACGTGTTTTCTGAGCGGTGAGCTCAGGGTGGGTGCTTCTGCCCCCAGGCCGTTGTGGTTCTGTATACATTTTTAGAATATCTGGTCTAGTTCTGTGAAATACATCATTGGTATCTCGACAGGAATTGCATTGAATCTATAGATTGCTTTGGGTGGTGTGGACATTTTAATGATATTAATTCTTCCTATCCATGAACATGGTATGTATCTTCTTATTGGAGATACCACTTATTTGTATCTTCTTCAATTTCTTTCTTCAGTGTCTTATAATTTTCCTAGTACAGGTCTTTTGCACCCTTGGTTAAATTTATTCCTAGGTACCTCATTTTTTTATTACAATAGTAAATGGAATTTTCTTAGTTTCACTTTCTGATAGTTCATTATTGGTATATAGAGATGCCATTGAGCTTTCCATCTGGCCACAGCCATCAAGTAAGCCGAGCCAGGTGCTTACAAGTACATCCAGGGGCTGTGGAGGAAGAAGCAGTCTGATGTGATGTGCTTTCTTCTCAGGGTGCGCTGCCGGCGTGCCGCCAGTTCTCTGTGCTCCACGGGCTGCCCGCCCCACCGGGCCCAGTGAAGCACACAGGCTGGGATACAAGGCCAAGCACGGTTAGGTCATGTATTGGATTTGTGTGAGCCGTGGTGGCTGCAAACACTCTGTTCCTAAGGGTGCAACCTATAACAAGCCTGTCTTACCATGGTGCTTACCAGCTAACATTTGCCTGAAGGCTTCAGTCTGTTGAGGAGGAGCAAGCAAGCTGGGCTCCACTGTGGGGCTCCGAGAGTCCTGAGTTCTCACTGGGTTGGTGAAGAGTCCACATACAGATTCTTTGGTTATCCTCAATGATCCATTCCATAAGGCTATTGGAAGTAATCCTGACACCAAACTGGTCCACAAGCACAGGGAGACGTGAGGGCTAATACCTGTGGGCCTGAAGAGCTGTGGCCTTGGAAAGGGCCATAAGTCCCACCACAATACTGGTGGTTCTTGCCGTGCAGCTTGGAGAAGGCGCAGTGCTCTCCAGCTCCACCGTTACTGCTAATATAAGTAATGTTTGTAAAATCCTTACCTAATAAACAATTTAGGATAGTCAAAAAATGTCATAAATTTCTGAGTAGATTTTGTATCCTGCTACTTTGCCAAATTCATTTATTAGGTCTAGTAGTTTTTTGGTTGGTGGAATCTTTAGGGTACTCTATATACAGTATCATGTCATCTGCAAATAATGGCAGTTTTACTTCTTCCTTTCCAGTCAGCTGCCTTCTATTTCTTTTTCTTGTCTGATTGCTATGGCCAGGACTCTCAGTAGTGCTATGTTGAATAAGAGAGGTGAACGTAGACATCCCTGTCGTCTTCCCTATCTTAAGGGGAACACTTGTAGTTTTTGCCCATTGAGTATGATGCTGGCAGTGGGTTTGTCATATATGGCCTTTATTATGTTGAGGTATGTTCCCTCTATTCCCACTTTGCTGAGTTTTTATCATAAATGGGTGCTGGATTTTATCAAACGCTTCTTCTGCCTCTATATGATCATGTGGTTTCTATCCTGCTGTTATTTTATTTCCATGGACTTTGAAACAAATAGTAATAGTATTTATATTGGCAGTCTAGGCCTTTGAAAATATAGCTCAAAAGCAAAACTCGCCCACCTGTGTAAGTGACTCCTGTTTCTGTTGTTGATTCTGCGGGTACTGATAACGGTGCTATAACTGGGGCCCTGGGTGACGAGGACACTCACTGAACACCGTGTGTCATCGCGGATACTTACACATACTTGAAACTTGGAATAAAAGGTGTATGATACGCGTCTGTGTTTCATTTGGATCGCTGTGCCCAGCCCCGAGCAGCAAAGTTCCCATCTCATCAGCCTAAGGGAGCCCCAGCCTCACAGGCCCACTACTGCAAGCTGGGGTCCAGTGTGGCCATAGCAGGCCTCCTTCCATGCACCCCCAAAAGGGGCAACTCCTGCCCCTTGAGAACAGTCTAAGGAGGTCACAAAACTCAACAAAAATATAAGTCATAGCCTTTCTGGAGCTCTTGCTTTTTACTGAAACTTGTCAGGAGGCACAGCAGTTGTGTCAGGACCAGAGAGACAAAGTTTTCAACTGTCCCAGGGGATCGCTACAAGGCAGGGCCTGGGCCAGCCCTGAGGGTCAGGGTGGTGCCGTGGGCCATGCACGTCTGCAGGGTTTCAGAGCTCTCCCCGCCCAGTGAGGGTGGGCGGCCAGGCCAGCCACTCTCACCCAGCCCCCGCCTCCCTTGTGTCAGCACATGCCAGCACATCAGAGGCCCTCGAAGCACCTTGGCACAACTCCATCCAAATCAAAAAAATAAGTGCACTGGGACCCAAGCCCACAAAGGTGCCTTGCATCTGTTCTTGTGATGGAGGTGAACTCAGTGGCCATTTCAGAACCCACCTTGTGGCTCTGCTCACATTTATTTTGCAAAGAGCCCTTCTGTGGCCCACTGACAGGAAACATCAGGACCTGCCCCGGGGGGCCAGGGCCATCAGCTGTGGCATCGCTGCAGCCACGCTGCAGCTCCTGGTGGCAGGAAGAACACCCAGCTCGTGAGGGGAGACACAACAGGTGTGACCTACTCCCCAAGCTGGGCAGGCTCTGTGCAAAAACGCCTTGCAGACCCAGCAGAATCCTCCAGGCCAGTCTCCTGGAGCAACCAATTTCCTCTGCGTCCTCAGGTCTAAAATGGGAGACAAACAGCACCCCATAGTGTCCCATGGTTGACCATTATTTTGAAGCAATCACATTTAAAAACCTTTAAGTTTTTATTTTTTTCTCAATTTTCTGAAAGTAGACCAAACTGAAGCTCACAACACTCCACAGTGATGCTCCACACTCCACGGGGTGCATGGCCGTTGTCTCTATAGAGGCTTGTGGGCGCACCGGCTTGTCCCGGGGGTGTCCAGCCAGGCTGGCTAGGCTGGCTGGCCTGGCTGGGCCGCTCAGGGCCTCGGGGAGGTAGGAGACTCAACAGCAGGCCGCTCTCTCTTTTTGTGTTGAAGCCCCAGGGCCCGGGCCACCAGCCTGCGGGCCACTGCTGTACTTGTCTGTGGTCTCTCCTTCGCCAGATGCAGGAGCTCTAAAAGGAAAGCCCCAAGGAGCAGGGACTTGAATTCAAGGCCACAGCCACCTCTCCTCCCACCGACACAGCAGCCTCAGAGGCCGTCAGAGACAACCTTGCTGTGCCCAAAGCATGGTCAAATGCTAGTGAGAGGGGCCACCTAGGGTTTCCGGGTTGTAACACTACCACCTGTCTGTGCCCTCCATTTCTCCACCTGCACAGGGGCATGGAAGAGTTAACCCTGTACACAACCCCCTCCCCGGCTTTGTAGGACCATTTGAGAGGGAAATCAAGTTAGGATGGGATATCTAGAGCTCTACGACCCACAAGATATTTATTGTCCCCAAGAGGAATGGAACAAAGGCCACACAATCCACAAGAGCATGGGTGGTGTCAGTGGGTCTTTTGGGTCAGTTTTGCTGGCCATTGCTTTGCAGCCACAGGAAACTGGCCTCTAAGAGCCCCCGTCATGCCTTCTGGAAGGAGAGGGGCTGTCATTGATTTGGCACCTTTGGTGCCTCTTGCCTCCCCTGGAGGGTCTGCCAAGCACTGATCCATGCCCCCATACTCTGTACGATCTGCTTACTTTACAGACAAGGAAACCAACTCACAGACATGAGGTGACTTGCTCAAGGTCAACTTAAATAAGTGACAAAGCCAAGATCACACGCAGTGCGGACTCTTTCTACCCCACTGCAAAATACGGTTCCCACAGGCTTACAGAAAAGACCACGCTTGTCCCTGAGCAGCACCCAGCAGTGGTGTGGACAGGAGGGCACAATGTCCTCCCCGTTGGGCCTTGCCTTCCCTAGGCATCCCCAGGCCTCTGGGGGTGGAAGGAGCACCACCGAGCCCAGGGCCCCAGGCAGAGAGCTGAGCGAGGGGGCCTGAAGGGCAGGAGAGGGCCCACATCTAACCGCACACACGCAGCCTCCCATCACAGCTGCTCCCGTACTTGGCCTCTGCAGGGCTTTCAGCTTTGACTGCTTGCTTCCCTGTGTGAGGGGCCGGATCTTGAGCCCTGAGAAGTCCTTGGCCAGGGCTTCAGCAGCTGTGTAAAGAAAACAGATCTGGAGCCCCCTCTCCGCCTCCAGATGAGGCCCCCTCAGGGCCCAGGAACACTCACACCAGAACCAAAAATGAATGCAGCCACTTCATGCACCCATTCAAAGCCCAGGAACAGGGCTGCCCAGATGCCACAGTGCCCTGCCCTGCCCCTACCCCACGTGCCTGCCCGGGCTACCTGTGCTCTCAGAAGGAAAGCCTGCAGAGCCCAGCGTCCACCTCTGCCCCAGGCTGCTCAGGAGCCTCCTGCCTTCTAAAGCCCCGAAGCCTCAAATTCTACCCTTTCCTCAACTCGGACCCCACCAGGGCGCACACCCTCAGTGCTCTGAGTTGTGCCTGAGTTACCTACGGGCACAGCATGTCAGAGCCGGAGGGGCTTCACATCCAAGCCACCCCTCATCACCTTCACAGGTGAGGAGACTGAGGCCAGGACATGACGTGCTGGCGCCACACAGCTTGGCCGAGTGCAGAGGGCAGCAGCTGTGGAGCACAGCCCAGGGCTTGCTCTTCTCACTGTGCCAGGCAGCCTCCTGGTCTTCCCTCCCTGACTCCCCTTCAGCTGGCCCTCTGTCTGGGGCTGGAGCCCCCACTGTGCCCTGGTCCCTCTGCTCCCTAAATACAACCCACTCCCTTCCCCCCAGGTTCTCCTGAGAGCTGAGCCCACACTAGCCATGGCCTCTCCCGGTTCCAGAGTCCAGAAGCCCTGCTGAGAGGGGCGGGAGTCACTCTCTATGAATACACCAAAGTGAGCAGTGTGACAGGGACAGCTTAGGGAAGTAGCCAAGAGGGAGAAGGAACCCTGGAGTTCCAGCCAGGAGGCTGGCTGATATCCGCTAACCTTGAACAGACCACTGACACTCTAGGGACCTCAGTCCCCCCACGTGCAAAAGAGAGGTGCCCCACTTCTTGAGGCTGTAATGAAACTATGTAAAAATGCCTGTGTTTGAACCATAAGAACTGGCCAGTATTTGAATGCTTTTGACCTACCAAAACAGTACTTTCACGTGGTCTCACT